GTAAATCAACCACACAATGTCTGCTGTGTGGATAAATAGTTCTCTCCGGATACTCCGGATTCCTCCACCGATAAAAACTGACCGCCACAAGATAGCCAATAGTCCTTAATGTGGAGTTTAACACCAAATATTCAATCAACAAACCTGCACGGTGGAATTTTTTTTTATACTTGTTAAAACAAAATAAAAAATACTAAAACCGAAAACCCTAAAATAACCCGTTCGAAAAGGATCTAAAAATATCAAAGAAAATGAAGTGTAAACCGATACCCAGTTATATGCAGTATAAAAAGGAAATTAAATGCATTCCTAGTCCATAGTAATTTCTTTCAGCAAACATTAATTCTTGTATATTTACGAAAGCAGTTACTGAAAAAATATATATCTTGTCACAAGAAAATGAGTATACTTTTCAAAAAATTGGTTTTCGGTCTGCTGTTAGTCAAATAGTGGTTAAGATAGATTTAGGTCTATTTAAAAAGGCATAGTGTTTTCCATACTTTGCAAAATGCTATAATTTCAAAAAATAACAAAAAGTATGGATCACCGAATTTTTTAAAACTTAATTCAATTTCATGTTTATGAAAAATTATCAGAATTTGTAAGGATGCTACATGGAAAAGGCACTTTTAGGTGAATAAAAAGAAAACTAAACGACAGAGTTTTAAATATAATAAAATTGAGAATGGAAATGGGGAATGTGTCAAAGAGACAACAACCCGACCATAGAACAGACAACAGCAGAAGGTCACCAACAGGTCTTTCAATGCAGCGAGAAATTCCCGCACCCGGAGGCGTCCTTCAGCTGGCCCCTAAACAAATATATATACTAGTTCAGTGATAATGAATGTATGTATGAGAAGAAAGCTCTCTTGTTATAATGTGATTTCCGAAAGCAAAAAGCAAAAAACAAAAATCAAAAACAACAACAACAAAAAAAAAAAAAACGTAATCCTCGTACACGTTTTCTTACTTATTTTGGGGATAATCATGATTTTAGAATTCTTATCAATGAAAACATTTTCTTTTTAAATGAAAAAGATGTATAATTAAGATAAACTCATCATTATTTTTTTTTTCATTCAAATGAAAAGTTCACAAATTAATTTTTGCATCAAATTTGCTCATAATAATTGTAAAAATTTACAATCGATCATTTGCAGCTATTTGAAATGAAAAAAAAATAGTCCTTGATCTACCTTAAAATATTGAAAATTAACAATGACAGCATTTCTATTTCAAACGTGATGCATGACTTATAAAGATTTAAATTTTCGTTAGGGAAGAGGAATTTTGAATTTATAAATAAAAATTGCCATTTTATAAAATGTACACAATTCGTAATTGATGTCAAGATCGTGAACTCATACATATATGATGATGATGATTATACCCCACGCAGTTGCGTAGGATTTTTTTGGCCCTTCCGTTCGTCCGTCCGTCCGTCCGTCAGTCAGTCAGTCAGTCCGTCCGTCCGTCCGTCCGTCTGTCAGTCCTGTTCTTGTTATCGCAACTGCTCTATTACCGCACAACATAATTTCATGAAACTTTGGTGATGATAGTAAGGACATACTATGTAGATGTGCATATCGACAGGAAATTGTGATTCTTTTTTTTCTAGCAGTTATGCCCTTTTGAACATAGAATTTTGGCCTAAATATACTGCTGCAACAGTTTGTCATCTCAACTCCTCTGAAACCACATACACAGAATTTCATGAAACTTTGTAGTTAATGAGGAAATAGTATGTAGATGTGAATATCCAGAAGAAACTTTATCAGTTGACTATTTTAGGAGTAATGAGTCTTAGAAGTTAGAAATCTGGTGAGTTTTTTTTCCCCCAGTGACAATGTGGGGGCGTGGGGTATGTCAGCGTGCTCACAAAGGTTCTTTAATTTGTTCGAGTTTAACCAAATAAGATATGAATTATGAAATATAATACTAGTATAAATTTATGAAAAAAATAAAACAACGGACCTCTTATGAATAAAGTGTTGATAAAATGAGTTAAAAAAAATATCAGGCTCAGACGTCTTCTAACAACACCTTTCAAATAATTGAACTGAGAAGCATTTGAATATTAACGTAAATTAAAAAAAAGACAAATTGAGGGAGAGAAATTACCAAATAACAAAAAGAAAGAAAGAAAGAAACGTATAATATAAACAAAACACAAATATTGAAAATTTCACCAGCCAAGATTGAGAAAGTCTTGCGGCAAAAAAAAAAATTCTAAATTTTAGGAGAAGGAAGAAGACTTCGAAGGTCAAAAACGAATACATGCATTGTGTAATTTTTTTAACACGCTCGTCCGTTTCCCTTTATTTGTTTCACTCATAGTATCAAAATCAGTTTAAAGTTTCAAAACATTTTGGATTTTGAAAATGAAGGAAGCTAAATAATATACTAAAAAGATTTGAAATCATGTTACATACGTTTATGACATCATATATTATTAATCGTTGCTAAACATTGCGGTTTGAGGCGATTTTAACATAACAAATGTTGCATGTGTTTATAAATATTTTTTAAATTCTATGGAAATTTGGATATTAATGTTTACATTTAATAATGACAACCCTGGATTGAAAAAATGAAAATATCTAATGAAGCAACTTAAAAAATCTCTCAAAATGAATGCCTATTAGAAGTCCAGAATGTAAATTTTACAGTCAGTTAAAACGACATTTCACAGAAGTAAAGTGCTTGTATGCTTGAAACGTTCTTTGACTTTTGACTTGGATGGAGAGTTGTCCCATTGGCACTCATACCACATCTTCTTATATCTATTTGAGACAACGTCAAAAAATTTGTTGAGAACGTCGTGTAACGCTCAGTGGTACCAATACCGTCTTCAGTCTATATGCTTCTCTTAGGTCGATATTATACAATTATAGCCTTTGTATGAGGTCGATACGAGGTTATATCGACCTAAGAGAAGCATATTGACTGAGGACGAAGTCCGAGGTCGATATGCTTCTCTGGGTCGATATAACATCGTATTGACCTCAACTAAAGGCTACAATTGTTATATTATTAATCAACAACTATTGCATGAACAATGTAAAATTGGTGATTTCTAGAATCTATTTTTAGTAACATGCTGTATGCCCTGTGCAATATGCTGTTTTTGACCTACGAAAAGCTAAACACAACAGTATTGGCGTGCAAACTGAGCAAATACAAATGTACATGCGATCAAGTTTAAACGAATCACAAATCTTTAAAAATATTTGATTAATAATATAACCTCGTATTGACCTCATACAAATACAAATACAAATATTTTATTGACACAAATTGGCAAAGGCCCATATTTCAGTACATTATTACAATGAATACAGTATAATGAAATAATATGTTATAAGTAAGAAGATAAAATCTCATTTCTATGACCCAGACATTTACGTATATGAGAACAAGTCACTTTTAGGACTTTTAAAGAATTGCTATTAATGCAACACTTCATATTTACCTGATTCTCACTATAGCTTGTAGGAAGTATATCTAATATAATAGTTTTAAAGCTTATTCTGTATTTAGAATATTTTTCACAATTCAGTTAAAAGTGATTTTCATCTTCTACATCACCCGATTTACATTCATTGCAAACTCGTTCATCGGTGGGTAAACCTAAATGTCGCCCTTTTTCTATGGATTGTGTGCACTCAATCTTATTTTACACAGAGATGACATTTCTAATTTGTTCCTTAGAACATCAAGATTTGAAGTATAAAATTTTAGTTTGGAGGAATTGTAAATTTTTGATGATTGATCCTGCCTGCACTGATCAATCACTCGTTGTTTAATACTTGGTAGATATTGTTTAATAGAACACTTTCTCCCAGCTAGGCTTGAAAATCCTAGATTGTTTGAAATAGAATAAAGTTTCTTTGTCATGTTTGTCCAGGGGTTATTTTTTCAGTTGCCAGAAAAATTTTGGATACAATGGTCTTTTCACACCTTAAAATATGTTCAAAAATTTAATACAAGAAAATGAGATTTTTTCCCACAATAGTAGCCTGCCAAGTTCAGCTCTACAAGCAGCATTAATTGCTTTGCAATGAACACCTAAAATTTATTTTATGAACTTAATATGGAATTTTTCCAAAAATGGAATTGTCTCCTGAATTATCAAAAACGCCCCATACCTCTCTACAATACAGCAAGATCGGACTTACTAATGAATCAAATAACTTTTAAAAAATGAGGCCCCTCATAGGGATGTCCAAGTAATCACAATTTGTTTGCCAATATAATCACATAATCATTAATTTTTTTTTTAAACAAGATAATCAAATAATCAAAAATACAGTCCTACATTATCAAATAATCAAATAATCATGAAATATTTGGTCTGGTAATCAAATAATCACTATAAAAACGGCCAAGTAATCACATAACAATCAAAAACCCCAAAAGGAGGCTCTAAAATACAAATTCAGGCTTCAATATTGTTAATCTATGTAGTGAAAAACGTGCATAATGTCAAATCATAAAAATACCAATTGATTAGTCTATAAGAATACTTGTAAGATTTCCGCTGTTATTTTTGCTAAATGGGTGCAGTTTGGGTACTCGGTGCAATTTGGGTAGTATTATCTATCTCATGTCCCATATGCATGTTAAAAGGAGAAAATTCTGTGACTTTTATTTTAATTTACCTCAATATTTTGTTTTCGTTTCAAGTTGTTCAAAGCCCCCATCCCGTGTCATTCATGACCAACACGCGCTTGTGGTGTTTTATGAGATCATATGATGATCATATATAGGGCCTAGATTGCATAACACTGTTTTTAGTTCTCAAGTCCCAGTATTTTTATATGACCTTGACCTTTCTTATGTCAGTTATTAGGACGATAAGAAAAAGTCAGTGAATGTATCCTTTTTTTAATTTTGTTATATTTTGTGAATTGCTTTAGACTCTATGTGATATATGATATGATATTTCATATCATATGATATGTTTATTGTTTTAAAACAAGTTAGGTAAACGTGGATATAGCTTAATCATTCAGCGTGGTATTTTTTTTTATATACCCCGGATGTGACGTAAGTCAACAACTGGAGGGATAATATAAATAAGATCGTATTCCACGGACAGTTAATTTGGATTTAGCCAAACATATCAAAACCATATATGCTGTAAGTATTTAACGTACATAGAGCACCATATAGAAGTTGAGATCCTACAATACAAATAAGAAACGAGTTCGAAACGTTATGTATTCGCCCTTGTTCCAGTAAACTATGCAAGTCGGTCAACAGTGTCAGTGAGGTTGGTTCGTCTTATCATTATGCACACTTATCTAACGTCTCATATTAAGTAACAAACTTCAAATAAGGGATATTTTTAAAGTGTTGAGATTCTGTTAAATTAATTGCAAACATAGTCCTAGAGACATTAGCATGATTTTATGTCCTTGTCAGTGTTCCAGCTAGCATGAAATGGAGGGGCGCCGCGCCCCGCCCCCGAAATTTTGCGCCCCTCTGCCTTTTTTAAGCGCCCCTGCGCCCCTCTGTGCCCTTTTGAAAAAAGTTTAGACAACGATCTTTTTTCCTCATATTGTCGCCATTTTGTTGAGTTCTTTATACACACACTTCATTAAGACAACAGATTAAAATTGTTAACACTTGTTACCTGTATATAATCACCTATTTGATTAGAGTCAATTACTTAATCAGGTGAAATTTACGACCCTGTCTAATCCCTTTGCCCTGAAGCACCAAACATCCAAGTTAAATGAATTGATTTTTTAACACCTGACGATAGAAAATAGAATTTATAAAATAAAAGTGAACGATGTTCATTTCTATTGTAATTGTTATTTATAAAATAACGTTCATTAAAAAAGAATCATTCCAATAGTATATTGTAAATCGTCAACACGCAAAATGCCGACGAAAAAAAGAAAAATTGACCAACTCGAAAATGACAAGAAGAAAATATCAAAGACATGCCAGTCTATTACATCTTTTTTTCAAGAATAATGACCATCAAAGGTTAAAAAATAATTTAATTCTTTACCTTTATGAAAAATCGAGAAGAAGAAAGGTTTTCTATCAGATATGGCAATTGTTCTTCTATTGTAAATTCCGCCAATTACGGAGCACTCGAAAGTCCTATTTTTATATCATTTTTCTTAAATTGAAATCCGTTTTGACTAACTTTAATATTGATATTATGAGATACGCTCAACATGAAATATACGGATATGCATGTTGAATTGATAATAAACTTTCAAAGTCGAATTAATTTATTATTGTGCCGATGACGGAGCTCTCGAAAGTCCGATTTTTGTATCAATTTTCTTATTGAAATCCGTTTTGACAAACTTATTGATATTATTAGATACGCTCAACATGAAATTTACGGAGATGCTTGTTGAATTGATAATAAACTTTCAAAGTTGAATTAACAAACTTATTTGTTGAATCAATCTATTTCTCAAGATCGAAATAAAGACAATTGTCTCATTGGCACTCTTATTTAAATTCACAACCAAACCTACACAATTTTCAATGTATGTAATAGTATAGAGTATTTAACTTAGCTACATGCTTGCTAAAAATATGTCATTATGTGGTAATATTAAGTATTTGATTTTTTTCAGGAGAACGCGCTAAAGTGCCCTTTTTTAAAAACGCACCCCTCTATTTTCAAATCCTAGCTGGAACACTGCTTGTTATTGTATCAGGTTGCATTTTCACACCCTATTGGCATTGCATTGCCAGCTATTGGCACTGAGCAGTTACAAAAAATAATGGGTAAATTCAAAATAGGGGAAGTCCAATAAAAACTCACAAAATCAAATGGTAGACTTGATCAACCAACGGAATGAATGGAAAATAACTTTAATATTCCAATACACCTTATCGCTATTTGTCAGCCATTACTGGACATCACAGAGGTTCCCGTAAAATTTTGACGTCATAATAGAAATATCTGACGCCACAATGGAAAAGTGATTGTTGTATGATGTCAATAGTTCAAGAGGCGCAGATTTCCAGATAAGGTCTAGAGGTAAGACAGATCTGCCTTCCCTCAATTATGATTTGACCATTGAAAATGGATATGTCAGGTATACATCATTTGTACATCAATGAGACAGCAATCCCAGTCTGTGCAAAACTATTCTGGGTTTTTGTCTGAATATTAGGTTAGACAGTCATGCCAGTTTTGTCTGTTATCAGCAGTTTATTGTTGGATCACCAGAGCATTACAACACTATGTTATCTGTTATCAGCAGTTTATTGACGGATCACCAGAGCATTACAACACTATGATATCTGTTATCAGCAGTTTATTGTCGGATCACCAGAGCATTACAGCACTATGTTATCTGTTATCAGCAGTTTATTGTCGGATCACCAGAGCATTACAACACTATGTTATCATGGTGTCAGATATGTTTTTTATGCTCTGCCGTAATTAATTTTACCCTTGTCCGTCTGTACGTACTTACGTCCGTCCGTACGTCCAAACTTTGGTTTCCGTTCTCTAACTTTAGTTTGCCTCAACCAAATGTTATGAAACTTATACACAATGCTTATTACCACATAATACAGATCAAGTTCGAAATTGGGTGGCGTCACTTTTACCGTTCTTTAGTTATGCCCCTTTATAAACATAAAAATTGCTGAATATTTTGTTTCCGTTCTCTAACTTTAGTTTGCCTCAACCAAATGTTATGAAACTTATACACAATGCTTATTACCACAAAACACAGATCAAATTTCAATTTTGGTGGCGTCACTTTTACCATTCAAGAGTTATGCCCCTTTACAAATGGAAAAATTGCTGAATTTTTAGTTTGCCTCAACCAAATTTTATGAAATTTATAAACTTATACACAATGCTTATTACCACAAAACACAGATCAAGTTTGAATTTTGGTGGCGTCCCTTTTACTGTTCTAGAGTTATGCCCCTTTACAAATGGAAAAAATGCTGAAATATTTGTTTCTGTTCTCTAACATTTATTTAACTCTATAATAACAATATAATAGTTAACGAAAACAAGTACAAACTTCAAAGTTCATCAAGAAAGCATAACCTAGCCTATCACAGGGCTCAAAGTTTCTGAAGTGAGTGGAATCATGCTGCCTGACTGATTTTACATTTTTATCAGCAGCTGTATTTCAGAGTAGATTTGTGCATGGCTCAAAGTAAATCTACAATATGTCAAAAGCAGAAAAAAAAAGCATGTAGACATGTATTCTTGTTTCAAACTTTAAGCAAATTGAAAAAAAAGGAAAAAAACCCAGAGCTAATGATTGAAACAGCAGTTTAATTTCAACCTTAATCAATAAATCTGTAAAGTATAAGTAAAAACAAAAGATTAAAAGGATGATATCTAAATTAGCTTGTTTGACTTACTATTTGAACATTGAAAGCTTTTTATGCAAAATACCACTTTTTAAATTCAACATACATGTACATGTATTCTTACTAAATGCAAAATAAATGGTGATTGTTTTCCTTTTTAAGAAACTCAATATTACAATTCTTGTCAGAATAATTTTGATAACATAAAGTAATCATGATTTTAGACAAATGGGTCAAAGTTTCCTTTCCTTGTGTCAATTTTCCATTTTTTGGTTGGTTATGTATGGGCAAGTTTACAGTGATGATCATGTAACTTAGATTTCAATTAAACATAATTAATAAATCCCAAAATGAGAACTGACTTAGGTACAAATGCAGATGAATTTTATTGATCACAGCTGGTTGCATGCTTATTTTGACAAGAAGTCCAATATAAAACGAATTACAATTTATATCACCTGTACAAATGTGATTTATTTTTATGATTTTCAGTTTGTTGAAAATTAAAGTAAAGAGCTATGCCTGAACCAGAATTATTAGGATATAAACCTGCAGCTACAGAAGGTATGATTGAGAACCAGTTCAAATGTCAGAAGTATTTTGTTGTAGGATTTATTCATATAAATTTTCTAATGAAGTTATTGGTGTTCTATGTTAAATACCTATGTTTGCAAAAAGTGTTCAGAATCTATTACCTTTAAAAAAATTTGATTGTTGTGAAAATGGAATGATACATTTTTTTGGGTCACTGAAAAAATTGTAAATACTGACACTCCACCTGATACTGTAAATACACTATGTACATGTAGAATGCTTCATTTACATTTGAGAGAAAATACACTTGTTATTTGTCCAGTCAGTGGCGGATCCAGGGGGGTTGGGGTTCAGGGGGTTGGAACCCCCCTTTTTTTGGACAATCAATGCATTTAAATGGGGACATATGGTTGGAACCCCCCTTTATCCTGGGTTTGGAACCCCCCTTTTAAAAATGGCTGGATCCACCCCTGCCAGTTTTAGTATTATTTTTTAACCAAATTTATTATGGTAATGTCAGTTAAACATAAAATCATGAGTTTTAAAATAGTATTAAACTGATTAATAAATTATTATGCATAGGAACCTATAGCACAGTTTTAGTGTACACATTTTATTCTTTCAAAACAAAATAAAATCTGTAATGTCTCTGAACATCATTACAAAATATTTATGGATGATATCTTTATAAGTAAGTTGTCTGTTTGTTTACCACTTGTGCATGAACCAGTTCAAATATTTTCCATGTGTATGCTACATGTCCTATATATATATATATTCAATGTCAGGTAAATTGTCATATTAAAAAAGACCTTTATATGTAATAAAATTCATTTCCTTTCCATTTCATTGTAACTTGAACATTTGTTTTGATGAAAACTATAACACCCAATATTTTATCTAAACAAGTATGAGATTTTGTTTGTAACTTCATCTTTAATTTGCATTATTTGTTAAATAGCTTTTTTCATCAAATTTCACAGTTATTTGTCGACATAGTCGGCTTCTTGTCATTATTCAAATTTACTATAATCTTGACGACTGTAAACAAACTGAAATCCATTGTTATATGACCACCAGTACACACAAAAATCCATAGGTATTTATTTAAGCATATATGTATACGGGGTAAAAGCCAGAAACTAGGACAGTTCACTAATGATTTTATGTCAATACTAGTATCATTGTAAGGGTATTAAAATCCAATGTAAGGTGCCAAATCAAGATGTACTTAGTAACTTGTATAAAACCGGGAAAATACCCTTTCATGTGTGTTTTATTGAATATTATTACTGAAAAATTCCATAAGACAGACATTTTCTTGAATATTAATACAAAATGCAAATATGGAGAAAATTCATTTATTTTATATTTTTCTTTTCACTCCTTTAATTTTATTTATGTTTTAAAAAATTGACATCTTATTTGTATATTTGCTTATTGATTGAATAAAATCACATGCTTAACACAAGAGACCCTAAAGTAAGCACTTATTATAGACAGACTGTAGGTTATGTACAGACCCTATGAAAGAAGAATGTTCGCTGTAGCATGGACTTCACACCGAAAGCTTGTAGCCAGTTTAAATAAATCTTTCTGAAGAATGATCATTGTAGAATGGACTACACATTGAAGTATTGTAGCCAGTTTAAATAGACTCCCCTAATTCTGTTTAAACATTTTATTATTTGTAGCTTGCTACTTTAAATAATACTTTTATAATACCTAGATGAATTTAAAGATTATCAATGTCTACTGACCAATTGAGAAATACATTTTTTTTCAATTATTAGTCTGGTCAAACATCTGCAGTAGTAAAGATATTATTAAAAGTGTATACTCATGTACATGAAAATGAATAAAAAATGACCACTTCAAGAGATTAGTGTCAAACCTGTATTTACAGTAATAAGTAAAGCTTTCATACAGCAGTTTAATGGGTAGTTTGTAAATCATAATATCAGTAAATTAAATATTTCAAACCATAAAAACTTTTTTGGAAAAATGTTTAAATTTACAAGTATAATTTCTGTGCAGCTGTTAATGTTTTGTTAGGTTTTCATCTGCACAAGCAAAATTTATAACAGGAAATATTCGGACTCTCAATACTAAACATTAATTTATACACATGAACAGGCACTCCTCTGAAAAAGTACATATTTGATATTATTGATTTTCTCCATGTTTTCTGCAACCATTACTTATGGTTGTTAGTTCCAGCAATAAATATATTGCTCATATCAGAGGATTTCCGTTAGTTTTACCTTATTAGTTCAGTTGAAATTGATTTATTCTATATTTGTAGGTAAAAAATGATTTTGGGTCAGATCTCACAGGTGATTTAATTTTTGTTAATGTTTCCTTTAAAGGAAATTTAACTTTGGAATGTCATCAGAAATTTTTTTTATTGTTCAGGTAAAAAAAGGTCATTGTTGGATGACAATAATATCCCCTTGTCAATCCTCAGATTTTTAAGAAGTGTTATATCATTCCTAAATTTAGTCTTGTAAATCACCTCTGGAGGAGAATAAACAAGTCAGAGATATAGTGCATACACATGTTATATTGAATTCATAGTCTATAATTAGATGTGATATAATGTTTCCTTATAAGGACAGACTGGATGGCAGGGGTATTAACTAGACCTGTCTAATATATGGAACATGCACCAAAAAGGAGTGATGAACTCTTAAATGAACAAAACGGAAGCAATTTATATATATATAGAGAAAGGAATTTGTTGCAAGAAAACAGCACTGTGATGACTGTACATCAGTGTGTTTAATTAATATCATGAATACCATAAAAAGGCATAATCGTCTAGACTATAGTCTGAATAATTTTATTCATGTAAATTTATTATTTTTCACTTGAAATTCACATATTTATGTGATTTCAGTATACCTGCTGTTTGTAATTCAGTTGTCACACACACAAAACATGTCCACTACATAATATTAAAATATTCATCTGATAATAAGATTTTGAAAGATTTTATTTTTGCTTTATACCCATCCCAAAATATTGTTCGTGAACTTTATTTTTAAAAAGTTTTGCTTGATCACTTGTACATTTAGTTGTGATTGAAAAATCTTCCCCACACACCATTTGCTGTAACATGCAAAGCTGTATGTACATGTATGAGTCCTTATGTCACAGTTATATTTTGTAGCCTATGTTCTTTTCCTGAATTGTGTAGTTCATGTTTATTAATGTTGTCATTGAAATGCATCTTAATTTCCACATTAATGTGTTTGTGCTTGTTTATGTTACATGGTAATGCATGATATTTTTTGCATGATAGCTGGACAAGGCCAATTGCTCAATGGAGCAGACTGGCATCCACCAGGAGGTAAATATAATACCAGTGTTCTGTAGCTCTCATTTCTGTTCACAATTATTTCTACAAGTATATGTTCTTCCATTTTCTATTATGGAAACAGGAGATAGATGTAGCTCTGACTTTTGTTTATTTCTCTAGTACAGATGGTTATAATGTCCACCACACAGTTATCATTATACTAACCAACATTTTTCATTTTCATTATAGCTGCACTATTTACTGACCAGTATACAGTAGTTCTTCAGTTTCTTATAATTCATTTCATGTTTCTTTACTTTTAAATAGCTATTAACAGATTCTATTCCACAAAGGGAATTGCTAAAATATATTTTCCCATCCAAATGTCTAATCACATCTTATCTGCCACACATCTTTGATTCAATTAGTATTTTATTCATATACTAGGTAGCACAAAGTGCAAGTCTGGCTTATAGTAAGGTGATTGTTGGGTCAATAGAAAATTGGAGGTAAAAATAAGTACATGTAACCTGTAGTGTTTTGTAAAATAGTACATGTAACCTGTAGTGTTTTGTAAAATAAATTCCTCCTTCCGGTTTCATCCAAAATAAGTTTCAACCAAAGCCCTAAAACTTTCTAGAATATTACATGCATTGAAGACCTTACTAACCATAAGCATTGTAACTAATCCAATTGAGTAACAGACTGCTGATATATTATAAGATTATATTTTATTACATTTATCTCTCCATACATACTTCTTGTTCAGTTGTTCTAGTTCAGAGATTTTTCTATTTTATACAAATGTCAACTAGATTGACTGGTCAGATAATGGACTAAGTTTTAGTGTTAGAATTCATACAGAATATATATATTCTATGCTTGATCAGAATGGATAAAAGTTTCAACCATAAAAGTTTCAACCATAAAAGTTTCAACCATTACAGATCCATTAGTTCCTTTCTTAAATTTGATTGAGATTTTTTCCAATGTATAATAAAGTGATTAAATTTCTTCAGACCTCAGGTCTTTACTGTGAAATGTGATAAAAACTTGCTGACAAAGCTTAATTGTTTGCCAACATGAGTTTGCTTTCTTAAATATAATAGTTGACACAAAGGGTACCAAATTAACTTGGTCCAACAATGATTCTGCTAAAGCTTATAAAGGGCCAAATTAACTTGGTCCAACAATGATTCTGCTAAAGCTTATAAAGGGAGACTTAAATCATCCCTATTTATTAAAAACAGGATTGTAAATTGATCTTCAGATATACACTATTTTTTTTATTGTATTTGGTTATTGTCTCATTTCTATTTGATCACATGACTTGTGTATAGTTGTCCAAACCATTTTTTAAATATATTTTGAAATCTGTAGAAACATACATTATTTTCTGGACAAAAAAAAAATCTTTTTTCTTAACCATAATTTTTCATCAATCACTTTTACTAAATTAGCTATGCTTATATGTTTTGTTGATGTTGCCATGGTAATAGTGCATGATATTTTTGCATGACAGGAAATGGTCAGTTACAACAGAATGGTGCTAATGGGATACCAGGTAAATATCAGTTAATCCCTTACTTAAACTTCACTGTAGTTGTCAGTTAACATTGGTCAACCTTCAAGTTTCTTTGATTCCTTTAGACAGAAAAATAAAATTACACAGTCCCACAAAATGATGTACAATTCACCATTTTAGAATCTAATGCATTTTGGGTAATATTTTCAAAAGCGTACACCAAAATGCAGTGATTGACCAACAACGTCCAAAACAATGGAAATTCAACCAATGATGTAAAGTTGTTCTAATATTTGGGTATGAACAATGGAAATTCAACCAATGATGTAATGTTGTTCTAATATTTGGGTATGAACAATGGAAATTCAACCAATGATGAAATGTTGTTCTAATATTTGTGGATGAACAATGAAATTTCCCATAGTCCTTTAGATTCTGAGTGAACAATTTTATCTTGAGAAGTTCAACTATTATGTTAAGGATATTAATAAGAAATTCTCAATCTCATATCTGTCATTCAGTCTCATTTCAACTGCAGTGAAATTCAAGGAAGAGAATTTTCCAATGTTTAGATATTAACCTGCTACATTGTACTAACATTTTAACATTCAATGACCCTTCATCACTGTTTAATTGTAATATGCATGTATCTTCCTTTACAAGGATGTTCATTTAAAAAAAGAAAATTTTTAAGCTCAATTTTATTTTCAATTGAAAAAAAATGCAAAATATATAGTCCATGTTGGTTAATGTATATTGTTTGTATAATTGTGTAAGATTTGTATTATTAATTATAACATTACTCTCGATCCCCCAAGAAGACCAGTCACTGACCATTTGAACTAATTTCCTCAATATTGACCTTTCATATATTGACCTTTCATACTTTTGTTGCATTCCTGGACTTACTACCATACAAGTCAATAATTTTTGCTTGCATTACACATGATTTTATTATAGTGTCTATAATAAATTATTTCTTGAGTATATTATTAATGTTTGCTTAGACATTCAAGGGTCAATAATGCTTATGTAGTCGAGCCTACTTTCTATGCACATGATCAGTAAGACGACATGCACATTTCATAAGATTTTATTGAACATTTTATTAATATGACCCATATAAAAAAGATACTTTAAAAAAATATGCAACAATGGGATGTTTTCATTCAGTCCCCTACCGACGAAGTCGAAGGGGACTTTAGGTTTGCACTCGGTCCCTCCGTCTGTCCATCCGTCAGGCCGGCAAATCAGTTTTCCACACTTTTTTTTTCTTCATGCTTGAAGATATTGATTTGATATTTGGTGCATTGTTTTATCATGATAAGTTACAGATCAAGTTCGAATTTTGTTATGGTCTGATGATTTTGTGCAGAGTTATGGTCATTTGACTTGAAAATTCACTAAAATAATCAGTTTTCCACACTTTTTTCGTCATTCTTGAAGATATTGATTTGAAAATTGGTATATAGTTTTATCATGACAAATTACAGTTCAAGTTTGAATTTTGTTCCGGTCTGATGATTTTGTGCAAAGTAATGGTCCTTGGACTTAGAAAATTCAATCAAATAATCAGTTTTCCACACTTTTTTTCGTCATGCTTCACGATATTGATTTAAAAATTGGTATATAGTTTTATCATGACAAGTTACAGATCAAGTTCGAATTTTGTTCATGTCTGATGATTTTGTGCAGAGCTATGGTCCTTGGACTTAAAAAATTCACTTAAATAATCAGTTTCCACACTTTTTTTCGTCATGCTTGAAGATATTGACTTGATATTTGTTATATAGTTTACACCATGACAAGTTATAGATCAAGTTAGAATTTTGTTCCAATACAATGAATTTTTAACCGGTCTTTGGTTTGGTCTACACATATATACCTGCTTTTAATGTTTGGTCTACATATATATACCTGCTTTTAATGTTTGGTCTATATATAATCTTCGTGTTTCAGTGAAGAAAAAAGAGTTTCTGTCAGGTAATACTAACCTAAGCCAGAAGCTGTAGTTTGTTTTCCTGTGTTTAAACTGCTTTTAACACTTGCAGTGAACTCTTTACACTCTGATATGGATAACCATAATCCAAACTTTCTTCCTCTTGTAGCTTTTCTTTCATTCAGACGAGCAAGCTGTTGAGTTTAGCATCTTACACTAACTTGTCCTCAGTCATTTGTAGATTGAGGAGCGAGAAATTGACAAAACTGATCAATAGAGTTTAGAATTATGTGAAACAGTTAACTAACAGTATTGGACTGTGGCTTTGCTTTTTCACCATAAATAGCCTCTTCTGCTGTTTAAGACACATCTGCAGTTTTGAAGATGATATATAGTGGCTAGTCATGATCATTTCAAATAAGCATTCAAGTATATTTTTAATTTGACCAAATTAATGATATTGACTTGGCTAGAAATCCTTGAAGCTTATTTTTGTAAATTTATGGCTAAAGGAGTGTACTTTCTAATGTATTACAAATATACCTATAACTCTTAAAAATTTTTGTTTTTTATGTTAATAGGTTACTGTCTCATTGGCTATACCCACATGAAGATGACATCACCTCAATATTCTTATTTTAGTAGAAAACAAAGCAATAGGCAAAGTTTCCTTACAAAGTAGTTAACAAATTTATAAGTAGAAAACAAGAATATTACTTTCATATTTAAGGTTGTATGTAAATAGAAAATTCATATCGAAGTTATGTATAGTCAAAGAATTTAATTTAAACTTTTCAATTTTGTATCAGTCCAGAGTGAATGTTAACAGGTTATATCTCATGTCTAAACACATACATTAGTGGTTGACAGTAGATATCAATCATTGATCTATATGTCACTACTAAGTAACAGTGAATTGAGCAAACAAAAATCATTTAAATTCTTGTGCTTTGATAAAGAAAATGATTAAAACAAAAGAAAGAATAGAAATACTGGCAAATCATAATTTAATTTTAAAATCTAATTGGAGGAATAACTAGACTTTTGAGGATCCTTTCAAAAAATGCTTTTAAATCCTCAGAATTTAAACGGCAGATAGGGGTATTCATTTACCTGTGCAAGATATCATATCTCAGGTATTTGGTTCAGCAACTTAAGAAAATAAAGGAAATAAATTGATGTTAACCATGTTTCTACACTTCCTCTCTATACTACCTTGGTATTTGAAGTCTACACTTCCTCTCTACACTACCTTGGTATTTGAAGTATTCTATAAACAAATAGTTACATTAATTGCTAAGTTTGCTGTGTTTACACTATAGTTTGTTTTAGCATCTGTTAAAATGTATTTCAGCAGCACTAATCGAATAAATTTTCTAGATAAAAATAACACATTCATTAGCATATCACCATAGACAATTCGTAATAAACTTTAGAATTGAGCTATATTTAAACAGAACTGAGATTTGTGATGTCATCTTAATGAACAGTTGATGTATGAAAATATGAATTAGAAAAAGCCTGTAAAGAACAAAGTTAAATCAAGCTTTAGAAAAATGATACATTAGCTATCCCTCTTAAAGATGAGGGTTGATGACACACATTTTTCATGAATAATCAACTGAAATTGAAAGAAACCATGATAAACTGAATTGTTTAGAATATTTTTTTATTAATTGTCATGACAGTTATTCTTTAGCAGGACAAGAGATACACGCTCCTTTTAGTTGCTAGTCCAAGTCAATATTATAAGAATGCTTTTTTTCTCACCTTGACGGAGTCAAAAAGCGGGACATAGGTATGCTGTTTCCGACGGCGATGTCAACAATGTATTAGTTTGTGATAAGGTCGAGTTTATGGGGAACCACTAGTGGTAGGTCAATGATATTTGGTATGCAGTTGTATTTTCATTGGCACATCTTATTTCCATGGAGAGATTATTTGACCCCGACTACTCAGTCAAGGTTCAGTGACTTTGAATATTTTGCATAACTTACAAATGTTAAAGTATTGCTATTTTGATTTCAACATTTGCATTTTACTATCAAAATAACAAAAAAGGCTAGACATATCTTTGTGTTAACAGTTTGTTACTCCAACAGTTCTACTAGGGATATTACTTATGGAAAAGCAAGAAAACTTTATCACAAGTTTCATATTCTGCCATTTCTTTAATTCAATGTAGTAGTGCTGAGCAGCGGGAAAATAAAGTGATCATAACATTTGATATAGGCAAGACTTCATAAAAGTTATTTTCCCTTTGGAAATGATTTGGGCGACCCTTATGGAACATCTGTGCCACTGAGTACCACTTGTAGTTGCCAAAATTATTCACTCTTTTTATCCATTGTGACATCACCCAATGAGAATTGTCTCCAAATATGTACTTGACATGAGCAACCCAATGGGTGTCACATGTTGAGCAGAATCTGCTTACCAGATAGCAGACATACTGTTAATTTGATATTTTATAATTAGAGAAACTATGTCCCTGTAATATATATTTAAGCCTTTTTTGAGGGTATAGTAATGTTCCGATTGATTTGATATATAAATCATGTCCCTGTGATATATATTTAAGCCTTTATTCAGTGTATAGTAAGGTTCAGATTGATTTGATCTATAGATCATGTCCCTGTAATATATATTTAAGCCTTTATTCAGTGTATAGTAAGGTTCAGTCTGATTTGATCTATAGATCATGTCCCTGTAATATATATTTAAGCCTTTATTCAGTGTATAGTAAGGTTCAGATTGATTTGATCTATAGATCCAGATATTGATACAAGACCAACATCCACTGCAGATCCAGACAAAGTCAACTTTAAAAATGGACGAGTGTCTCCTACAGCGAAAAGTGACAAAGATGATAAAGAGAAAGATAAAGAGAAGAAAGAACCAGAAAAAATGGTCGGCTTTTTTGAAGTAGTAAGTGAAACACAATGTAACATTCGTTGGGTTCCAGTTGTCATGGTTGTAGTGTATGTTGGTATTTTCCATAAATAAAATGCTTATAACTTGTTTTCAGTTCCAAGAATTAGAAAGTTGTAAACACATGGTTAGATGTCACATTTCAAAGCTTCATTTAGGAGGTATAATGTGACAATTTTACCAAGAATGCTTAAGATTGGAAAAGGTGAATTTTCAAACTGATTAAATATCTTACCAATGACAGGGAACAGGTTTTGAATCTGAAGATTTATTAAAAAGTGAACTTAAACTGAACACATTTTTGGAAATGAAGAGATTTTATTTGTATTTTGCAGTTTAAATTCTCCACATGTGTAGACAAATTACTTATGATTTTTGGATCAATCTTTGCCTTGGCCCACGGAGCAGCATTACCAGCTATGATCATTGTGTTTGGAGATATGACAGATTTGTTTGTAGAATCTGGGATGTTTGAACAATTAATGAATGACATAAGAAGCTATTTACCAACACTTGGATATACATACCAACAAGTTTTTGACAATCCTTTATTACTGAAGTAAGTAACTGTATATAGGATACACATACACACAAGTTTATGACAATCCTTTATTACTGAAGTAAGTAACTGTATATAGGATATACATACAAACATGTTTATGACAATCCTTTATTACTGAAGTAAGTAACCGTATATAGGATATACATACCCACATGTTTATGACAATTCTTTATTACTGAAGTAAGTAACTGTATATAGGATATACATACAAACATGTTTATGACAATCCTTTATTACTGAAGTAAGTAACTGTATATAGGATATACATACACACAAGTTTATGACAATCCTGTATTACTGAAGTAAGTAACTGTATATAGGATATACATACACACAAGTTTATGACAATCCTTTATTACTGAAGTAAGTAACCGTATATAGGATATACATACCCACATGTTTATGACAATTCTTTATTACTGAAGTAAGTAACTGTATATAGGATATACATACACACATGTTTATGACAATCCTTTATTACTGAAGTAAGTAGCTGTATATAGGATATACATACCCACAAGTTTATGACAATCCTTTATTACTGAAGTAAGTAACTGTATATAGGATATACATACATACAAGTTTATGACAATCCTTTATTACTGAAGTAAGTAACTGTATATAGGATATACATACAAACATGTTTATGACAATCCTTTATTACTGAAGTAAGTAACTGTATATAGGATATACATACCCACAAGTTTATGACAATCCTTTATTACTGAAGTATGTAACTGTATATAGGATATACATACATACAAGTTTATGACAATCCTTTATTACTGAAGTAAGTAACTGTATATAGGATATACATACAAACATGTTTATGACAATCCTTTATTACTGAAGTAAGTAACTGTATATAGGATATACATACCCACAAGTTTATGACAATCCTTTATTACTGAAGTAAGTAACTGTATATAGGATATACATACCCACATGTTTATGACAATCCTTTATTACTGAAGTAAGTAACTGTATATAGGATATACATACAAACATGTTTATGACAATCCTTTATTACTGAAGTAAGTAACTGTATATAGGATATACATACCCACAAGTTTATGACAATCCTTTAATACTGAAGTAAGTAACTGTATATAGGATATACATACATACAAGTTTATGACAATCCTTTATTACTGAAGTAAGTAACTGTATATAGGATATACATACAAACATGTTTATGACAATCCTTTATTACTGAAGTAAGTAACTGTATATAGGATATACATACACACATGTTTATGACAATCCTTTATTACTGAAGTAAGTAACTGTATATAGGATATACATACAAACATGTTTATGACAATCCTTTATTACTGAAGTAAGTAACTGTATATAGGATATACATACAAACATGTTTATGACAATCCTTTATTACTGAAGTAAGTAACTGTATATAGGATACACATACACACAAGTTTATGACAATCCTTTAATACTGAAGTAAGTAACTGTATATAGGATATACATACCAACAAGTTTATGACAATCCTTTATTACTGAAGTAAGTAACCGTATATAGGATATACATACAAACAAGTTTATGACAATCCTTTATTATTGAAGTAAGTAACTGTATATAGGATATACATACCCACATGTTTATGACAATCCTTTATTATTGAAGTAAGTAACCGTATATAGGATATACATACCCACATGTTTATGACAATTCTTTATTACTGAAGTAAGTAACTGTATATAGGATATACATACAAACATGTTTATGACAATCCTTTATTACTGAAGTAAGTAACTGTATATAGGATATACATACCCACAAGTTTATGACAATCCTTTATTACTGAAGTAAGTAACTGTATATAGGATATACATACATACAAGTTTATGACAATCCTTTATTACTGAAGTAAGTAACTGTATATAGGATATACATACAAACATGTTTATGACAATCCTTTATTACTGAAGTAAGTAACTGTATATAGGATATACATACCCACAAGTTTATGACAATCCTTTATTACTGAAGTAAGTAACCGTATATAGGATATACATACCCACATGTTTATGACAATCCTTTATTACTGAAGTAAGTAACTGTATATAGGATATACATACATACAAGTTTATGACAATCCTTTATTACTGAAGTAAGTAACCGTATATAGGATATACATACCCACAAGTTTATGACAATCCTTTATTACTGAAGTAAGTAACCGTATATAGGATATACATACACACAAGTTTATGACAATCCTTTATTACTGAAGTAAGTAACTGTATATATAGGATATACATACACACAAGTTTATGACAATCCTTTATTACTGAAGTAAGTAACCGTATATAGAATATACATACACACAAGTTTATGACAATCCTTTATTACTGAAGTAAGTAACTGTATATAGGATATACATACCAACATGTTTATGACAATCCTTTATTACTGAAGTAAGTAACTGTATATAGGATATACATACACACAAGTTTATGACAATCCTTTATTACTGAAGTAAGTAACTGTATATAGGATATACATACCAACAAGTTTATGACAATCCTTTATTACTGAAGTAAGTAACTGTATATAGGATATACATACAAACAAGTTTATGACAATCCTTTATTACTGAAGTAAGTAACTGTATATAGGATATACATACACACAAGTTTATGACAATCCTTTATTACTGAAGTAAGTAGCTGTATATAGGATATACATACACACAAGTTTATGACAATCCTTTATTACTGAAGTAAGTAACTGTATATAGGATATACATACACACAAGTTTATGACAATCCTTTACTACTGAAGTAAGTAACTGTATATAGGATATACATACACACATGTTTATGACAATCCTTTATTACTGAAGTAAGTAACCGTATATAGGATATACATACCCACATGTTTATGACAATCCTTTATTACTGAAGTAAGTAACTGTATATAGGATATACATACACACATGTTTATGACAATCCTTTATTACTGAAGTAAGTAACTGTATATAGGATATACATACACACATGTTTATGACAATCCTTTATTACTGAAGTAAGTAACTGTATATAGGATATACATACACACATGTTTATGACAATCCTTTATTACTGAAGTAAGTAACTGTATATAGGATATACATACACACATGTTTATGACAATCCTTTATTACTGAAGTAAGTAACTGTATATAGGATATACATACACACAAGTTTATGACAATCCTTTATTACTGAAGTAAGTAACTGTATATAGGATATACATTGAAAAAAGTTCTTGAGAACTCCTATTCCTAGTAGCTGCCAACCTCTAGCAATGAGAAATCATGTCATTATAAAAATCAAGAGAAGAGGTATGATTGCCAATGAGACTTCTCTCCACCAGTGACCAAATGATCATGGAGGTTAGCAACTATAGGTCAGTGAACAGCCTACAACAATGAACAAAACTCATACTACATAGCAAACTATAAAAGGCCCTGAAATGAAAAATGTAAAACATTTCAAACAAGAAAACTAAAGGCCAGATTAATGTACACAACAATAAACAAAAACATATATAATATACAGTAACAAACAACAACCACTGAATTGCAGGCTCCTGACTTGGGACAGGCACATACAGAATGTGGAGGTGCCATCCCTCCCCTAACCAGGGACAGTGGTGTAACAGCACAACATAAAACAAATAATAGAAATCAGTTGACATGGGCTTAACTTGTCAGTTTTATACAAAGCAAAAAAAAGAAAAAAAAAGTAACTAAAATACAATAGACACAAAGTACATATCTGAGAGTACTCACAGTTACTTAAAGCTAGTTCAAAGCCAATAACAACTTTTAAGAAAATCATGTTGTGATATTACAAAAAGCATGTGAAAATATGAGCTATTCTGGAAGTCATACAATATAGTACACTAATACACTGAATCACATCACAGTAAACTGTTAAAATATATTCCACAGTTGCTTTTTTGGTTTAATTTAGAACAATCCTTAACTCATATTCATAAAGAGTACAGTATTGGGTAAATATTCACAATAGCAAATGCCAATGTGAAATTATTCACTTTGTTTGATTGAAAGAGTGTCTGATATTCTTCTCATTGCGTAATTTTCGCTCCTTGCAGGAAAGATAAAATGTACTTTGACAGATTATGAATTGCAACAAGTTTGAAGTCATTTTAAGCCTTTGAAAGTTTAACCGTACCCTGTCAATAAATTTTAACTAAATGTAAATATGTGGTTACCAGGGTGGTGGTGGTGGTGGTGGTGGTGGTGGGGGGGGGGGGGGGGGGGGGGGGGGGGGGGGGGGGGGGGGGGGGGGGTGGTGGGGGGGGGGGAAGAATTGATTTGGTTAGTGATCACTTTCTCTTAACCATACAAAACTCTTATTTTGAAGCAATGGTAGATACAAAAAACAAAGATATCAGTCAGGATTCTACTTCATCAAAATTATCTCCCCATTACAATTCTAATTAAATATTTCGTGGAAGGGCAGACTAAAAATTTTCAGAGGTTGAAGATTAATAACCCTAGATAACACACAAAAAAAATGAAGTATTTTTGAAGTTTTACATTTTTAAGATCCACTTTTAAAGTCTGTCGTCAAGTATATACATACTTTTAGTAAAAATTTGTTATTCAAACACACCTACTCTGTTGTTATGACTCATTAGAAAGGTATTTCACTTGATCTATATATTTCATTTTTTAGTACTGTGAATTTTTAATGTTATTAAATCAACCTGTAGCCTAAATATATATAAATAATAGAATCTGAAGTGAGATGTTGTATCAAATATTTTTGCTTTATGCGTTTTCAAGATAGAATAGTGAAATTTATGCTTATGCACAAAAAAGATCCACATATTTGTTAATTTTAAGATGATTGATTGTTAGTTGCTTAACTTCCTGTGGCAAATATTCCATACATGTTCTCAACGAGATTAGTTTTAAGATCGCACTCTTAAAAATAATTGAAAAAAAATGTCAAAAAATAATGATCAAAAGAACTTTTATACATGTGAAATAACCTTCCAATCTTTAAAATAAAAACTTCTTTATTTTTCCAAAATGTAACACATTAGTTTACAAGACGTGCATTGAGGTATACATGTATGCAACTTTCATATCTTTTAAATGGAACTTTTTTGTCCAAAATACAACGCATGAGTTTGCATGCTCTGCATTGTGTGTAGATATATATATTATGCAACGACAGGTCTGTGTTACCAAAATAATGCTATACCAGTTGACCCTGGATTTCAATTTAACAAAGGTTATAACTTTCCCCTGGCCGTCAGAAATTTATACCTTTATTCAATGTTGACACCTGTACAAAATAAACAGATCGTTTATTTTTGTTCCAATAAACGATTCTCATGTGAGCCATAAAAGTGTCCTGTGAAAAAGTGTCCACACGGACCCTTTTTACAGAAAAGGTATATTTAAATGTGTTCGATGCTGCATGTGAAAAAGTGTCCATTAAATCTGACATAATTTCATTATAACATTATGTCCGTGGACACAATTTACTGTGAAAAAATGTACAGTGGACATAATTTCATGGCGGACAATATTTAATCCTACACTTGTAGCAATTTGAATTTGGAAATAATCAAGTTGAAAACATTATTTACAAACAAAAAATCATCTTATGCAATGATTAAACTGTATAACCACAGTTGATTAGTAAAATAATAAATGAAGATTGAACTGATTTATATATTATGAATATAAAATAGTGTCCAAATGAACTTTCAAAATCGGACTACAATTCACAACTTGTTATTATCTAATGGACCACACAGGTAAACCAAATAGTATTAAAACTTCCTAATTGCAAATAAAATATATATGATCTACGGCCTTGGACAAACCGGTATATTTGGTCCCTGAGATAGCTTTATATGAAAATAATTAATACTCAAAGCAACATCGAGTTTTATAGTTCTTTATTAATATCTTTTTTAATTAAAAAGTAATCATCTTAACCAGAGATATATATAATCTGTTTCGGTCTAAATTTACAGGTAAATTATATAACATATTTTCGAAAACACTATTTATCTAAAACGAATATAGTTACTTTGTTTTTAACAGATTCTGTCAACATTTTATATATTTGTACCACATTACAACGATCTATTTATAACCGTCGCTCACGCATCTCTAGTTCTATTGATGACTCAATACACACCAGTTTTATCGGACAAACGGCTAATTCCCGTCGACACAGTAAATCTCCGGATGACAAGCACAATCTTCTTTATCGGAGATTCGACACGTACAACAGAGATTTTCCAAAAATAGCATGTTTTTGCCAAATAGGTCTACCAGTGGTACTTTTAGTAAAAATTTGTTATTTGAACACACCTACTCTGTTGTTATGACTCATAAGAAAGGTATTTCACTTGACCCATATATTTCATTTTTTAGTACTGTGAATTTTTAAGGTTATTAAATCAACCTGTAATAATAGAATCTGAAGCGAGATGATGTATCAAATATATTTGCTTTAAAGTTTTCAAGATAGATTGGTCAACTCAAACACGCTCGAACATAAAAAGGTGCACTCGACTTTCTCTTTTCGATGAAATTATTGCCCATCTTAGGGATTTTTTCCAAAAAAACTGTCGCTGGGGGCAGAGATGCAAATTAATGCTTTAAAAAGATCAATCTATTATCTTTCTGTGGAATTTTTTTCGGCTGAATTTATGCTTATGCACTAAAAAGATCCACTTGTATTTGCACCTACCACAATCGACTGTTTTATGAAAATTTGTCTATAATTTAAAAGATTACAAATATTTCCATACTATAATTTAAGTAAAAACATGTATATAAGATGCATAAAATCCTAAACTATTCACCTTTATTAAACTTTTAATGCCCATAGAAACAGATTTAAACAATTCAAATATACCAATTTGACTTTTTTACCTTCTCTAACAAAGAGTTCCATTTCTTTTGTTTCATTTCAACTTGGTATCCGCCTGATATTATTAGCCAATTACATTTATTTTATGGACACAGAGTAATGTTTTGACAGCTTTTTAGAATAACTGAACCTAAGACTAAATTGTATAAATGTACAGGTGATGGTAGGTATGTTTTTGATGAGAGTAGTATATTATATGGCCATATTTATACCCAATATTTATACCCCAATATGTTGCAATACCTCTTTATAATAACATGGTTGTAATATTGAATGCATGATTTAATAAAATACTGATTATTTTGCAGTAATAACCGCACAGCAATTCAAGCACAAGTGAACTATACTATTGACTGGAATTGGCTTAATGTCCAAGATCAACTCCTGGATGAAATGAAAAAATTTGCAATATATTACATAGGTAAACTTTATATTGATAATACATAATTGTCTTTTTCCTTATGTGCCTGTCCCAAGTCAGGAGCCTGTAGTTCAGTGGTTGTCGTCATTTCATGTCTGTCATATTTCTTTTTCCTTAATTGTTTTGTTATAAATTAGGCCGTTAGTTTTCTCAACTGAATTGTATCATGTTTTTCATGTCGGGGCCTACTATACGGTATGGGTTTTTCTCATTGTTGAAGGCCGTACGGTTGCCTATAATTGCTTACATCCACTTTTTTTTAACTTTGGTGGATAGTTGTCTCATTGGCAATCATACCTCATCTCCTTATTTTTATATTACTCTATTTACTTCACTGGGATTTTTTCTACAGTCAAACCTTGGTAAATCGGACTCTGAATAAACCGGTTTCCTGTCCATTCCAGCTGAAAATTGAAGTCCCATTGTTTCTCCTTCAAAGTCTTTGTAAAAATACCACCTGTAAACGGGACCCTGTGTATTCCAAATTCCTTTATAAGTATGCAGTCCCAATACTCTTAATTACATTAGTTATTACCTGTCAAATGCTGGGTTCCCTGCTGTGAACCTCAAAACCAATGACCCTGATTATGAAGAAGACGATGTTGACGGCATTCCATTGTCATGTTTATGGGGGTATTGTACATTGTACGACAATGTTTCGATTACAATGAAATTTCATTTGATAAAATTCTTGCCTTTAAATCAGCAACATAGGAAATGAACGATAGAAGTAATAAGAAACTATCGTTGAACAATTCAAACAACACAAGGATTCTGATGCAAATAAAAACAATGAACTCAAAGTAAAAGTGATAATAACATTACAGTACCAATTTTTCTGCACAAGAGGCGCATTTCGACAATAAATGTCTCTTCGGTGATGCTCGAGGTTAAAATATTCAAAAATTCAAACCTTATTTAAAAATGAGATGATGAGTCAGAGACTGATGCTACTGTGGGCGATTTGACACACGAGAATATGTTAAAAAAAATTCAAAATGTTATAAATTTTTTCAATTCATGGGACAACCAATTTCTGAAATTTCTAAAACCAATGAATACGAAGACTCAAAACAACGATCGTGCATAGTTAAATGGTGAAAGGCAGGGAACACTTGTAATGTTCATGTCACAATATTTTCACACAAATCATGGCAAAACTTTTGATAAATAGATTATTATGGTATTTATAAGTTTACAATTTACAATGAGACAGAACTTTTACATGCAAATTATCTGACGTCACAAGTCAATAACAGAAACATTAATAAACTGACCCACTGTCCAAACCGGCCCTTTTTCATAGTCCCATAGCCGGCCGGTTTATACAGGTTTTACTGTATATTTACAAAATTTTGATTGATTGTTGGTAGCTTGATGTCTGTTGGCACGTATTTTATTAAAAAATATTACGGTTTCCATAATTCCTCATCACAACTTATGACTATCGTTGACTATTTTAGTATTATGGTATATGATGGTGTTCATGTCCAGACATATCTCAAGAAGGAGTTAGAATTTACTCTAGGGTCCTTTTTTTTCATGTCAAGATATATCTCAAAAATGAGTTAAGACCTACCTTTATGGTCCATGTAGGTGTTCATGTCTAGACATTTTTTAGGAACTACATGTACTTAGGGATATTTTTGTATTTCATGTTTATGTATCTTAAATAAAATCTATAATTCACACTTGAGGCACTTCATTGCTTTTAAAATTATGAAGAAACTATGTTAAGTTTTACAACAAAGATAATATTTAAGATACTTTTTGATTTAGATTTATCTTGATTTTCAAATGTTATTATACCATAATGAGGGTGAGTTTGACCTCTTCTTCATTTTGTGATGCCTGTGTTTTTACTATTAGATTTATATCAAAAGTGCCTACTTTTCATATTCTTTGACTTTGGTGCATATTAACATCTATAATCTTATCCCAGATATCATAAGATTTAGTAGAACTCCTGTATCAGACAAGTTTACCGTCCACCAATGTATGAAACAATCTTACTTCTTTAGGAATTAGTTTTAATATTTTAATTGACAGTTTATTTGATTGATGTTTTTTAGCCATAGCTGGTGGTGTAATGGTGTGTGGCTATGTTCAGGTCAGTTTTTGGGCTGTTGCAGCAGAGAGACAAGCTCACAGAATAAGGGACATGTTTTTACGGAATGTACTGAGACAAGAGATTGGATGGTTTGATACACATGAGACAGGAGAACTCAACACTCGTTTATCAGAGTAAGAAACTTCAATAAAGAATTTTATGTTACTGCAGAAAATGTGGTATAGATATATCATGAACGATGGATTCATTTATTTTCTTTGGCATCAATTTTTGTGGTTGGAAAACAAATATTTGAGTGTACTTAATTTTCTGGTTTCATCATTTGCACATATCAAAGTAACTAAAAATGTGTATTTTGTCAGACATTCAAATTTGTGGTTTTTCCTCTCCGTAAGAAATCTATGAAAATTGATATACCATATACATAAATGTATCCACAGAATATATTCCTTGTTTATTTGAACAAAATGTTGTAACCATTTAATTATACCCCTGCTCCTTCAGTTCGTCACAAAATGTTATGATTGCACTTTTTTAGGAAATACAAATCAGAATTTTAGTATCAAGCTTCATGTGAGCATGCTTTAAAGTGTGATACATTTTGAGATTCAACGCTCATCCACTGCCTGTTAAATGAATAGTTATGTCTTCCCACTCACAGCTGCTTACACATAATGACCATGAATAAAATTTACGTTGCAATTTTTTCAGCAACTTCAAGTCAAGGCATTCTGAAATTTGGAACCAAGCTTCATGTTGTTTTGCACCAAGCTAATACATCAAAATATTTTTTCACTCAAAATAGTTCTCTAAAAAAGTGACAAAAAAAACAATATGGTCAAAAGTAAAACAAAAGAAGTGTACAAAGTACTACACAAAATATTGAGCAATATGAACCCCACCGATTTTAACAAAGAATTCCCCACTATAAAAATCTTAATGGTAGTCGTAGAAAATGTTGACAAGGAAGAAGTAATAGTTTAATATACCTACAGCAGCCTTTCTAATATGTCCTCTATGACGTCTAATATAATTTATCTACAACAGCCTTTCTAATATGTCCTCTATGACGTCTAATATAATTTGTCTACAGTAGCCTTTCTAATATGTCCTCTATGACGTCTAATTTAATATGTCTACAGCAGCCTTTCTAATATGTCCTCTTAGACGTCTAATATAATTTGTCTACAGCAGCCTTTCTAATATGTCCTCTATGACGTCTAATTTAATATGTCTACAGCAGTTTTTCTAATATATCCTCTATGACGTCTAATTTAATATGTCAACAGCAGCCTTTCTTATATATGTCCTCTATGACGTCTAATTTAATTTGTCTACAGCAGCCTTTCTAATATGTCCTCTATGACGTCTAATATAATATGTCTACAGCAGTCTTTCTAATATGTCCTCTATGACGTCTAACTATACCCCACACAACGAAGTTGCGGAGGGTATAATGTTTTTGACCCGTCTGTCTGTCTGTCTGTCTGTCCGTCTGTCCGTCCGTCTGTCCATTTTCTTGTCATCTCAACTCCTCTGAAACCACACAACAGAATTTCATGAAACCTTTTTAGATAATAAGGACATACTATGTAGTTGTGCATATCGACAGGAAATTACGATTCAATTTTCTTTCTAGGAGTTACGCCCGTTGAACTTATTTGCTTCAATGTACTACTGCAACAGTTTGTCATCGCAACTCCTCTGAAACCACACAACAGAATTTCATGAAACCTTTTTAGATAATAAGGACATACTATGTAGATGTGCATATCGACAGGAAATTATGATTCAATTTTTTTTCTAGGAGTTATGCCCCTTTGAACTTATTTGCTTCAATGTACTACTGCAACAGTTTGTCATCGCAACTCCTCTGAAACCACACAACAGAATTTCATGAAATCGTTTTAGATAATAAGGACATACTATTTAGATGTGCATATTGACAGGAAATTACGATTCAATTCTTTTTCTAGGAGTTACGCCCCTTTGAACTTATTTGCATCAATGTACTTCTGCAACAGTTTGTCATCGCAACTCCTCTGAAACCACACAACAGTTTGTCATGAAACTTTGTAGATAATAAGGACATACTATGTAGAAGTGCATATTGACAGGATATTATGATTCAATTTTTTTTTCTTATACAATTTTTTTTTTCTTACACTTCTTCTCCAATGACAATGTGGGGACGTGGGGTATGTGAGCACGCTCACTAAGGTTCTTTAATTTAATATGTCAACAGCAGCCTTTCTAATGTGTCCTCTATGACGTGTAATATAATATGTCTAGAGCAGCCTTTCTAATATGTCATCTACGACGTCTAATATAATATGTCTACAGAAGACATAAGGGACTCAATTAAACACATAAAGCTTTTGTATGAGTCCAAAAACAAAAAAACAAAACCGCTATCCAAGGTTCTGTAGTTTGGGTAAAGTTGCAGTGATTAAAAGAGTTACTGAATTACAAGAATAAAATCCCAAAATGGAGACCTCATCAAATTACAGAGATAGCTAGAGGAGTCACAGAAAAGATATACTTAAAATACATGCAATTGTATTTTAACAAAGAATTCCCCCCTATAAAAATCTTAATGGTAGTCGTAGAAAATGTTGACAAGAAAGAAGTAATAGTTAAAATATTAAAAACCTACATATTTCGCTGTCCTACACAATATAGACATTTTTGGGCATAAAGTGACATCATATGGACAAGTTTTGGGAATTGGACATGTTTGAGGAAAAAGATGTGTTTCTGAGGTGTTACATATATACTGCCGATACTCCTAGAATGTTGCTACAAAAAAATGGAAAGTTCCCAATGGAAAAATTTGAATTATATCTTTTGTTGTAAAGTTTAGTTTGAAACTGACCCTCTCTGCAATTTTCTTGATGTTGTGCAAGACATGAAGCAAGTTCTAGTTTTGAATTTTCATGGAGTTTCAGGACTAATTTTGACACTTTTCGAACTTTCAAATCCAATTTGAAATGTTTTAAAACTATGATGACGCCCTGCTATTTCATTTATCAAGAACAAACTTTCTATTTTTATTTTTTTGTGATTCATCTAAGGTTCATGCACATGTTGTCATAAATAGTAGATAAAGACAGAATGAATTTTGTTTTTCAGTGATATCAATAAGATTCATGAAGGTATTGGTGACAAGATGGGTTCCTGTCTACAATGGACATCTGGTTTCCTGACTGGATTTATCATTGGATTCATTTATGGATGGAAACTTACCTTGGTTATATTGGCCATCAGTCCATTATTAGCTATTACAGGATTTGTAATGAATAAGGTAAAAATCTTCTGTAATGAATAAGGTGGCAGAACCCAGTTATTTTATGAATAAATCTTTAGAATTTCATTGATTTTTGCTTTAATGTTCCCTGAAAAATCATTCAAGCTTATATGCAAATAAAATTTATGGTTTCGGTAACTAAGATAAGTACGTGCTTTTGTGAATATAAACATGTCTAAATTGAAAACAACGTTCAAACCTATGATTGCATTGGATAAAAACGCAATTTTTATACATGTGCATGCAAACAAATTTCTTGGTAGAGGGGTCTAAATACAGCACAAACAACATTTTCCAAAAGACCAAAAAAGTGAAAAACGTATATTTTAACAAACACGCATTTGACTAAAAGGAAAATATAATACAAGCCCAAACGAAAAAATATAAACAAGTCTAAATTGAAAACAATGTTCAAACCTATGATTGCGTTGGATAAACCTTTTGTGAATATATATATAGAAAACCTGTAAATTTGGATGTCTGTCCAGGATGAAGATTTTAAATAATATAAATGCATTGCAAACAAGGCAAAAAATGTGATGCCCTGATACAAATCTAATCCTCACCTGCAGAATCCTGCTAATCCCCTGATCTGATAATAATCTTAATAGAAAGATACTCTTGTCTCAGCTTTCCCTATGTACTCTGTATTGGTGTTAAACAGCTATAAATCAATCAATTATTAATACTTTCATGACTTGTTTATATCAACAGCTTGTAGCAGACATGTCTTCGAAAGAATCTGAAGCCTATGCTAAAGCAGGGGCGATTGCAGAAGAAGTATTTAGTTCTATTAGAACTGTGGTCAGTTTTGGTGGACAGAAAAAGGAATGCCAAAGGTATTAATAGCTCACGTGACTGAAAGGGCCATGCAAACTTTTCTCATCACTTGGCTTACTGCATCTTCAGTCGTCCAATGTCTCTCGTCCATTATTTTTTAGAAAAATGTTCTCCTCTGAAAAAATAGGCCAAATGGAACCAAACTTGACCACAATGATCATCAGGGGATTAAGTTAAGAAAATATGTCTCATATATGTGATTCTTCTGGAGGGAGACAAAATCTGATTTTCAAGCCCTCCTGTTCAAAATTCAAATCATCTGCTTTTTGACATTTTAACGGAGAAAGCTTCGGTCTTCATTTTTGTCGAGCCTTCGACTTTTGTCGAAAAAGCGAGACATAGCGATCCTACATTCCGTCGGCGTCGTCGTCGTTGTCGTCGGCGGCGTCCACAAATATTCACTCTGTGGTTAAAGTTTTTGAAATTTTAATAACTTTCTTACACTATCCTGGATTTCTACCAAACTTGGACAGAAGCTTGTTTATGATCATAAGATAATATTCAAAAGTAAATTTTGTAAAAAAAAAATTTCCATTTTTTCCGTATTTTACTTATAAATGGACTTAGTTTTTCTGCCAAGAAACATTACATTCACTCTGTGGTTAAAGTTTTTGAAATTTTAATAACTTTCTTAAACTATCCTGGATTTCTACCAAACTTGGACAGAAGCTTGTTTATGATCATAAGATAATATTCAAAAGTAAATTTTGTAAAAAAAAAATTCCATTTTTTCCGTATTTTACTTATAAATGGACTTAGTTTTTCTGCCAAGAAACATTACATTCACTCTGTGGTTAAAGTTTTTGAAATTTTAATAACTTTCTTAAACTATCCTGGATTTCTACCAAACTTGGAAAGAAGCTTGTTTATGATCAAAAGAAAGTATCCAGAAGTAAATTTTGTAAAAAAAAAATTCCATTTTTTCCGTATTTTACTTATAAATGGACTTAGTTTTTCTGCCATGAAACATTACATTCACTCTGTGGTTAAAGTTTTTGAAATTTTAATAACTTTCTTAAACTATCCTGGATTTCTACCAAACTTGGAAAGAAGCTTGTTTATGATCAAAAGATAGTATCCAGAAGTAAATTTTGTAAAAAAGTAAAAAAAAAATCCATTTTTTCCGTATTTTACTTATAAATGGACTTAGTTTTTCTTCCAGTTAACATTACATACAGTCTGCACTTTAAGTTTTTAAAACATTTATTAGATTCATAAACTATCCTGGATTTTTACCAAACTTGGACAGAAGCTACTTACAATCAAAAGATAGTATAGAGAGGAATATTTTTATTAATTGTTTTCCTCATTTTTGTTGAGCCTGCGATTAACAGCAAAAGTAGGCGAGACACTGGGTTCCGCGGAACCCTTACGAATTTTTGTTATACAAATGTACCATCAATGTCATTTTCTGATATTGATATTTGTCACTGATGAAGGTAATATGTAGCAACAACATTCAGGAAATTAGGACAATTTAGTGGCTTTAATTGACAGCTTGGGTATCAAACATACTGTCAAATAATGTCTGTTACCTCAGCCTTAGCCTGAGGTTATAAATAGTCTGTGTATTTGAAACACATTTGGCAATATAAATTTTGAGTTACTTCCCTTGTTTTACCTTGTTTCTACCTCTTAAAAGAATGTTTATTGGTAACAATAAAAAGCAAATGAAAGGCAAAGTTACATAAGAATGTTTATTTAAGGATTTTAACTTCCTGAGGACAAACCAAAAGATATTTTGAAAATTATATTATACATCTCTTTAAATGCTAAAAATTGTAATTTATAAGACCATTTATTTCCACCATTAGTAATGGATTGAAAACTTTTATGCAAAAACTTTCTAGAGAGTAAATTTGAATTAGGTTTAATTAGGAAAGTTTGTATAGACCTGATACACCAGTTGTAGTTTGGGCTACCATAAAGATAAAATACAAATAAATTTCATTTTTAATGGACAAGATAGTGAATATCATGGATAGATGTTTAAGGACTCATTGAGTTGAAGAATGTGAGACATAAGGGATTACAATCTGGTGATGGCAGAAATTATTTATATTATGCTTTATATATTTAAGAAGGTAGATGACCTGGATGCTTCATACCTTGTATGCAGATGCCTTATGTTATGAAGTTTACATCTGTCTTATGACATTGTCCTTGACCTCATTTTCATGGTTCAGAAACTGCTTGAAAAAAATTTGATTTTTTGTTGTTACTCACTTATTATGAGTAATAGAAGTTGTTGCTCTTAATTGATTTACCAATTTTTGTGTAACTTCAGAAGATAGAACAAAAAAACCGAAAGCCAAAATGATCAGCAAAATAAGATCTACAAATAAGTCAACATGACCAAAATCATCAGTCCTCTTCTGATAAGAGTTATTGGCCTTGAATGATGTTTTTTTACCCATTTTTTGCTGTTTCGGCAAAAGCTATCTGAAAAAAATCAAATGATGCATTGTATCAATTTTATACATTATTGCCAGGTAAGCGAAACAGGCTCCTTGGAGCCTCTGGTTTTATTCTATTTATAGATTTCATGAATGTCTTGCATGAATAGATAATGACCACAGAACAAAACAGCTACTTTTTAATTATGTTAGATTAATTAATTTTATAAGGCTTCAAAGTCATCTAAGTATTGAAACATTCATCAGTCATGTGCAACCATTTAAATTAGTAAATGTGAAATTCTCACTTACAAAATGCCAAGTCATTTATGACCATTAAAACTGTATTTTAAGATATTACTCCTAATGAAATGCCAAGTCATGTATGACCATTTAAACAGTATTTATAAAGGTACAATTATAACCTTCAAAATGCCAAGCCATGTATGACCATTAAAACTATTTATAGTTACAATTCCAACTTATATACCAAGTCATGTATGACCATTAAAACTATTTATAGGTATAATTCCCACCTACAAAATTCCAAGCCATGTACGACCATTAAAATAATTTATAGGTACAATTCCAACTCATATACCAAGTCATGTATGACCATTAAAACTATTTATAGGTACAATTCCCACCTACAAAATGCCAAGGATGTTGGTATTAGGAAGGGTTATACTAATGGCTTTTCTGTGGGATTAGTATATGTTGTTATGTTTGGAGCCTATGCTCTTGGGTTTTGGTATGGAGCCAAACTAGTTAGAGAGGAATCTGATAACTATACTATTGGAAAAGTTTTGATTGTAAGTATTGAATATATGATTAAATAAACATAGAATCTATGCAAATCACAAAATAAGAGGAATTTGTATAACTGGATTCACCAAGGAGGGGGGGGGGGGGGTGTTTATAATGGTTTATATTCCGTCCATCTAACCAATGAAATGTTGGTCTCATTTCTCTGAGGAACTACAAATCAGAGCTTCCTGATATTTTGTATTAATCATCATGTGATGCTTTACCATGGAATGTATTTTCACGTTCATCGCTAATCAACTTGCTGTTTACCGAATACTTATAAATTCTTACACACAGTGGCCATTTGCAAATTTTTGTTGCCTTTTTCTGTGAAATATGAATCATTTCTTCCTAAAATTGGGTTTCAAGCTTCATATGAGTGTACTTTACCTTTTGATATGTTTTAACATCCATCACTCATGAACTTCCTTTCTGAATACTCATATTTGGGGTGTCAATAGTGAGCAATAGCTCACAGTCCAACTTGTTTTCACAATGAAACAATGCACATTGAAATTATTATAAGTACTTTGTTCTAATTTATTCTCATTAAGACATTTTTGTTTTATTTTTTGTTCACAATATGTCATCTGATATAATCTTTTAGGTTGAAGTATTGGGCCAGTTTCTGTCATCTTAATTGTGTTTATGCTTTGGTTGTTTTATTGTAAGATATATATAGAATGAAATGTTTGGTGTGCATCAATGAGATTGCAATTCAACTGAAACAATAGCTTAAAAGCTTGGTCGTTGCATTTATGAGCTGTAGTCTTTTTTTTTACAACCACTGACATTTCATTATTATTCATGGAATACCAATCATTGTGGATTTTGTGGATGTGGGTAAACCACAGAATCAAATATCCAGGAAAATCTAGAAAATAATGAATCCACAGTAATTTATTAGTACAACAGTCCTTACGAAATTTTTGAATGTCCCTTAGGAGAATATAAAGGCTGTTAATTAACTTTTTCATTTTAAAAAAGCCAACAATGACCAGAAGATTTGGGTGTTTTCAGTAGTCATGGTGTATTTCTTATCATTCCTGAAATATCAGGTACTTAATAGGAACCCAAACACAAAATTCAGATTTCGTATGTAATAAGTAAAACTTTCAATATTTAATTAAGATTCCCTTCTTGCAATTTTAAATGTGATACAACCCCCTGTTTAAAGAAATAACAGGGTTAAAAGAGATAATTACTCTTGATGTTATTTTGTGCTTGATATTTCAGATAGTTTTCACTTTTGATTGGTGCCTGGTCCATTGATATCATTTCTCCACCATTTTTCTTTTTATTTCAGATATTTTTCTCTGTTTTGATTGGTGCCTGGTCGATTGGTAATGTTGCTCCACCACTACAATCATTGGCATCAGCCAGAGGAGCAGCTTATGTTGTCTTTGACATCATTAAATTGGTAAGGCTTGGTCTATTGATAATAAAACAAACCTGAAATAATGATGGATAATGCCAAATTAACATTACTTATATAATATATACTAATGGCCTTGTCCAGCGGTTGTTTTGATCCAGCTTAGAAACTTATGGTGTTATATTTTCCAATCTAAATCCATGTTATTTTGTAAACAACCTCAAATTGACTTATTGATATATCTGAAAAAGACAGATGGAAGATAACATGTGCTTATTTTGAGAGAAAATTTTGTTTCTTGGTACAGTGTTTTAAAATATTTGTTCAATTTTAACCATTCTTTTTTAAAACTACAATATTTATGAATAAAAGGAGATTTTATATAATCATCATTGAGACAGTAACCCAACAACTATAACAAACAAAAGATATCTAGAAGTCAACATGCATTATTTTACAATTAACAAATGACAATATGTTAAGTTAAGCTCATAAAGGCTCTGTACAAATCATTTTTTATTTTATAGAACTTTTAAATTTCTTTACTAATTTTATAGATATTGAAGCTCATATCAAAACAAGTTTAGGTACAGTAAACCAAAACACAAAGCTATATTAAAGCTTTTAATAGAATGCCACAAATTCCATCCAAATTCCTGATTCTAACTACAGTTTGATTTAATTTGAAGGTGAATATGTATCTTTTCAAAAAATTATGCCTTTTTCAAAATGAATCCTCTTAATTTTGTAATGGACTATTTATATGATATGTTTAGGGTTCCAGAGATTGATAGCTTCTCTGAAGAATCTATTTATATGATATGTGTATATATGTTTAGGTTCCAGAGATTGATAGCTATTCTGAAGTAGGAACAAAGCCTGACAAGGTGACAGGGAGTATACAGTTCAGAAATGTTAAATTTACTTATCCTGCAAGGAAGGAAGTCCAGGTATGTATAAAAATAAAACCAGTTATATCATCAAGCTCCATCGTTTCCTGTTAAATTCTCCAATTTCAAGCATTCGTAGCTATATTGGCTTTAGTTCAAATATAATGCAGTCATTTTATGTCAAGATACATCTATGTGTAGGGACTATTTTCTGTTAAATTTACCTCTTTCTGGTATGCTTGAATACTGGGCCCTGAATAAGTTCCACACCTATAATTTTGTGTAGCTAAAATTACACATATAAACTGTGTAGATGTAATTACACATATAATCTTGTGTAACTGTAAGAAATGGAAATAACACTTTATTATTTTAATACGTCCAAAGCACTTTTCTGGATTTACCTTCATCAGGAACACTCAGAGACAAATATTTGGAAGCCAGGGACGTATAACTATCGTTAATTGACATATTTACGTGACTACATGCTACAGTCAAAAACACAACACTTATGCAATGTTTATATGAGTACACTATAAGATAATTTTTTTGATTAGAAACTAGTATTAGCAAAAAACTATAAAAGGAATCTAACCATAGCTGGTGTCCTCATTAGCGGCGTTAGACCTAAAAGAACAAAGCATATTATGTTAGATTGAACTTTATATATTTATGAGTGATAGATCAAGCTTGTTAACTTTGAACATTGTTTCACCTGATGACAGAAGGATTTAGGCTAAATAACTTGTACAAAAACGCTGTACGAACTATAATTTGTACAACATTACAACTTGTACAACTTATATAGAGATTAAAATTAATCATAATTTATCACAGAAGATGTCCTTGAGTAGAACGTGTGAACAGATCAAAAGACAGTGGTCATTTTACTTTGTCTTTTTACTATTGTAGTTATCAAGTAAATACTTTAGTTGTGAAGTAAAATCAAATATTAAAGTGTAAGTTATACTTAGATCATTGTTGTCGATCAGAAATGGGAAGACTATTGTGTTCAATTGTCTGAGCTTCTTGGGAATTACAAAATGCTTTTCATGTTTAACATTTATCTAACAGGTTTTGAAGGGAGTGGACCTAACTGTACAACCTGGTCAGACAGTTGCCCTAGTAGGATCTAGTGGGTGTGGTAAAAGTACCTGTGTACAGTTAATGACAAGATTTTATGACCCTGAAGATGGAACTGTAAGTTTGTTTTAATAAGTTTTAAAAGGCAATACATTAACTGGAGATAACTCACAAAATAGTGTCACTAAGCTGAAAAATCTTTGAATAATAAGGACAAGACAGGAAGAATAAAGGCAAAAACAATATGCATACCTAACAATATAATTTCAGTTTTCAATGTTTGGTCATGAATGCTCAGGATTCATAATTATTTATCTCAATTTTCATGGGTACAGTTGAACCACAAATTTAAATGTTCAACTAATTACGAATTTTCATTTCTCCCTCTTGAGATATGTCTGGACATGAAACACCAACATAGACTGTTGAGGTAAATCCTAACTCCCTCTTGAGATATGTCTGAACATGGAACACCAACATAGACTGTAAAGGTAAATCCTATCTCCTTCTTGAGATATGTCTGGACATGGAACACCGACATAGACTGTTAAGGTAAATCCTAACTCCCTCTTGAGATATGTCTGGACATGGAACACCCACATAGACTGTAAAGGTAAATCCTAACTCCCTCTTGAGATATGTCTGGACATGGAACACCAACATAGACTGTTGAGGTAAATCTTATCTCCCTTCTTGAGATATGTCTGGACATGGAACACCAACATAGACCCTAACTCCCTCTTGAGATATGTCTGGACATGGAACACCAACATAGACTGTAAAGGTAAATCCTAACTACCTCTTGAGATATGTCTGGACATGGAACACCGACATAGACTGTAAAGGTAAATCCTAACTCCTTCTTGAGATATGTCTGGACATGGAACACCAAAATAGACAGCTGTAAAGGTAAATCTTATCTCACTTCTTGAGATATGTCTGGACATGGAACACCAACATAGACTGTTAAGGTAAATCCTAACTCCCTCTTGAGATATGTCTGGACATGGAACACCACACTAGACTGTTGAGGTAAATTCTATCTCCCTCTTGAGATATGTCTGGACATGGAACACCAACATAGACTGTAAAGGTAAATTCTATCTCCCTCTTGAGATATGTCTGGACATGGAACACCAACATAGACCCTAACTCCCTCTTGAGATATGTCTGGACATGGAACACCGACATAGACTGTTAAGGTAAATCCTAACTCCCTCTTGAGATATGTCTGAACATTGAACACCAACATAGACTGTAAAGGTAAATCCTAACTCCCTCTTGAGATATGTCTGAACATGGAACAACAACATCTACTGTAAAGGTAAATCCTAACTCCCTTCTTGAGATATGTCTGGACATTGAACGCCGACATCGACTGTAAAGGTAAATCCTAACTCCCTCTTGAGATATGTCTGAACATGGAACACCCACATAGACTGTAAAGGTAAATCCTAACTCCCTCTTGAGATATGTCTGGACATTGAACACCAACATCTACTGTAAAGGTCAAATCCTAACTCCCTCTTGAGATATGTCTGGACATGGAACACCAACATAGACTGTTGAGGTAAATTCTATCTCCCTCTTGAGATATGTCTGGACATGGAACACCAACATAGACTGTAAAGGTAAATCCTAACTCCCTCTTGAGATATGTCTGGACATGAACACCAACATAGACTGTTAAAGTAAATTCTATCTCCTTCTTGAGATATGTCTGGACATGGAACACCAACATAGACTGTAAAGGTAAATCCTAACTCCCTCTTGAGATATGTCTGGACATGAACACCAACATAGACTGTTAAGGTAAATTCTATCTCCTTCTTGAGATATGTCTGGACATGGAACACCAACATAGACTGTAAAGGTAAATCCTAACTCCCTCTTGAGATATGTCTGGACATGGAACACCAACATAGACTGTTAAGGTAAATCCTAACTCCTTCTTGAGATATGTCTGGACATTGAACACCAACATCGACTGTAAAGGTAAATCCTAACTCCCTCTTGAGATATGTCTGAACATGGAACACCAACATAGACTGTAAAGGTAAATCCTATCTCCTCCTTGAGATATGTCTGGACATGGAACACTGACATAGACTGTTAAGGTAAATCCTATCTCCTTCTTGAGATATGTCTGGACATGGAACACCAACATAGACTGTTAAGGTAAATCCTATCTCCTTCTTGAGATATGTCTGGACATGGAACACCGACATAGACTGTTAAGGTAAATCCTATCTCCTTCTTGAGATATGTCTGGACATGGAACACCAACATAGACTGTTAAGGTAAATCCTATCTCCTTCTTGAGATATGTCTAGACATGAAACACCAACATAGCAGGGTTTGAAATTGGCCCCTAAAATTTGGTGTGGGCTTCTAAAATTTCTGATTTTCTTGTATAGAACTGTAAATATTGGCTACAAAATTTAAGCTGTGGGCTACCATGCCAAAATTTTAACACCAATCCCTGCATATACAGTAAAGGTAAATCCTAACTCCTCCTTGAGATATGTCTGGACATGGAACATCAACATAGACTGTAAAGGTAAATCCTAACTCCTTCTTGAGATATGTTCCGACATGGAACACCAACATAGACTGTAAAGATAAATCCTAACTCCCTCTTGAGATATGTCTGGACATGGAACACCAACATAGACTGTTGAGGTAAATCTTATCTCCCTTCTTGAGATATGTCTGGACATGGAACACCAACATAGACTGTAAAGATAAATCCTAACTCCCTCTTGAGATATGTCTGAACATGGAACACCAACATAGACTGTAAAGGTAAATCCTAACTCCCTCTTGAGATATGTCTGGACATGGAATACCAACATAGACTGTTAAGTTAAATCCTAACTCCCTCTTGAGATATGTCTGGACATGGAACACCAACATAGACCCTAACTCCCTCTTGAGATATGTCTGAACATGGAACACCAACATAGACTGTAAAGGTAAATCCTAACTCCCTCTTGAGATATGTCTGGACATGGAACACCAACATAGACTGTAAAGGTAAATTCTAACTCCCTTCTTGCGATATGTCTGGACATGGAACACCGACATAGACTTGTAAAAGTAAATCCTAACTCCTCCTTGAGATATGTCTGGAGATGGAACATCAACATAGACTGTTGAGGTTAATTCTATCTCCCTCTTGAGATATGTCTGGACATGGAACACCAACATAGACCCTAACTCCCTCTTGAGATATGTCTGGACATGGAACACCAACATTGACTGTAAAGATAAATCCTAACTCCCTCTTGAGATATGTCTGGACATGGAACACCACACTAGACTGTTGAGGTAAATTCTATCTCCCTCTAGAGGTATGTCTTGACATGGAACACCAACATAGACTGTAAAGGTAAATCCTATCTCCCTTCTTGAGATATGTCTGGACATGGAACACCACACTAGACTGTTGAGGTAAATTCTATCTCCCTCTTGAGATATGTCTGGACATGATACACCAACATAGACTGTTAAGGTAAATCCTATCTCCCTCTTGAGATATGTCTGGACATGATACACCAACATAGACTGTTAAGGTAAATCCTAACTCCCTCTTGAGATATGTCTGAACATGGAACACCAACATAGACTGTAAAGGTAAATCCTAACTCCCTTCTTGAGATATGTCTGAACATGGAACACCAACATAGACTGTTAAGGTAAATCCTAACTCCCTCTTGAGATATGTCTGAACATGGAACACCAACATAGACTGTAAAGGTAAATCCTAACTCCCTCTTGAGATATGTCTGAACATGGAACACCAACATAGACTGTAAAGGTAAATCCTAACTACCTCTTGAGATATGTCTGAACATGGAACACCAACATAGACTGTAAAGGTAAATCCTAACTCCCTCTTGAGATATGTCTGGACATGGAACACCAACATAGACTGTAAAGGTAAATCCTAACTCCCTCTTGAGATATGTCTGGACATGGAACACCAACATAGACTGTAAAGGTAAATCCTATCTCCCTCTTGAGATATGTCTGGACATGGAACACCAACATAGACTGTTAAGGTAAATTCTAACTCCCTTCTTGCGATATATCTGGACATGGAACACTGACATAGACCATAAGGATATTAGAATAGTCAACAATAGTCATTAAATGAAATTGGACATGAATAATGTGATAAAACAACAGATGATACAGGAAGTTTTATGTGTATTTTTGTGGTAATCAGTGTTTATTCATCTCTATATAGATTACCCTGGATGGAAATAATCTGAAGGACTTAAATGTGAAATGGTTGAGAGAACATATTGGTATTGTCAGCCAGGAACCAATCTTGTTTGCCATGTCTATCAAAGATAATATAAGGATGGGACGGAATAATGTTACTGATGATGAAGTCATTGCAGCCACCAAAATGGCAAATGCTTACAACTTTATAATGGATCTTCCTGAAGTAAGTTAACTGTGTAAAATAGTAGACATAGCAGTAATGAGAAAATAGACTGAAAGCAAAGAGCTTTATAGATAATTACCCTAGAATGTTACATGGGATTGGAACCAAACCTACATATATAGTCACATGTAATCAAAAGATCCCTATGGATTCTGAGGTCAATAATTCAAGGACAAAGTAACAAAAAATATACAGAAACATCTGCTGAAAAGGGTGTTCTCTATGATTACTTAAGGACACTACATTGGATTGTAACCAAACTTGGATATATGCTAACATATAAGGGGATGCCCTATTGATTTTTATCCTACTATACTATATGGAGCATTGTGAACTTGCTCTGATAGGTTCTTTTATTTGTTTAACAAGTAGCAAGTTACACTCATTTGACAATATCCCCTCACTGAATAAACAAAATTAATTTTTTTAACATTTGGATTTAATGGACTTAGAATTTACTTATAGTAGTAACCATTTCATGTTTTAACAAAGATAAGCAATATTTGTAGAAATTTAACACATTAGTTGGAGAGAGAGGAGCCCAGCTAAGTGGAGGACAAAAACAAAGAGTTGCCATTGCTAGAGCACTTGTAAGGGATCCAAAAATACTTCTTCTTGATGAAGCTACTTCAGCCCTAGACACGGAAAGTGAGTCCATAGTACAGGAAGCTCTAGACAAAGTAAGTAAAACCTTGTAAAAGTTAAAAGCTTAGGCATGTTCAAATATTATATGCAACAAAGTATGATTTCACTTGACTTTATGACTTTCACTCCCTTTTTTACCACAGTTAATCTGGTTAATAGATTTTCTTGATAACATCATCAATATTAAATAGTTATAACTTGACTTGCACATTTCCCAAAATTTCATTACAAAACTTACAAAAACATTCTTTTTGTATTATTTTTACTAAATAATAGCCATTGTCAATCTATGTATATAAAAATAAGAAGATGTGGTGTGATTGGCAATGAGACTACTTTCCACAAGAGACCAAATAATGTAGAAGTTAGCAACTAAAGGTTTTCGAACGTCTTTCAACAATAAGGAAAACCTTTATACTGCATAGCAAGCTATACAAGGCCTCAAAATGTCAAATACAAAACAGTTCAAATGAGAAAACTAATGGCCTGATTTATGATGGTTTTCTTAAAAGTAATAACCATATCTTAAATTTTCAGGCAAGAGCTGGTAGGACAACATTAGTTATTGCTCATAGACTTTCAACCATCAAAAACGCTGATATTATTGCTGGATTTAAAGATGGTGTGATTGTAGAACAAGGAACTCATGATCAACTCATGGCTAGGAATGGAGTCTATAACTCATTGGTTACATTACAGGTAAATATTACCATGGAATTCACATCAAACTCTGGCTTAAAGTAAAATAGTGAAACGTTACATTACAGGTAAATATTACCATGGAATTCACATCAAACTCTGGCTTAAAGTAAAATAGTGAAAACGTTACATTACAGGTAAATATTACCATGGAATTCACATCAAACTCTGGCTTAAAGTAAAATAGTGAAAACGTTACATTACAGGTAAATATTACCATGGTATTCACATCAAACTCTGGCTTAAAGTGAAATATTGAAAACGTTACATTACAGGTAAATATTACCATGGAATTCACATCAAACTCTGGCTTAAAGTAAAATAGTGAAAACGTTACATTACAGGTAAATATTACCATGGAATTCACATCAAACTCTGGCTTAAAGTAAAATAGTGAAACGTTACATTACAGGTAAATATTACCATGGAATTCACATCAAACTCTGGCTTAAAGTAAAATAGTGAAACGTTACATTACAGGTAAATATTACCATGGAATTAACATCAAACTCTGGCTTAAAGTAAAATAGTGAAACGTTACATTACAGGTAAATATTACCATGGAATTAACATCAAACTCTGGCTTAAAGTAAAATAGTGAAACGTTACATTACAGGTAAATATTACCATGGAATTAACATCAAAATCTGGCTTAAAGTAAAATAGTGAAAACGTTACATTACAGTATGTACACCTCACTGACTACACTAATGGTGAAAAATAAACATGTAACTCAAGGCTAATTAATAACTTGGCAGAAACTTAATATTGGACAGAATTCATGATAAATCCTATTGCTGTTTATTTATTCTATGATTTAGGTGGAAAGAAAGCTAAAAAGTAGATTTTATTTGTATATTTCAGACTAAGAAAGTAGATGTAGAAGGTATGTAACATTTATTGCTGTATATAGATTTTTAATGCCATAATGTATTTGCAATGAGGTACTGGGAATTCATTTATTGTCATGTGTACAAATTTTCCTGGATTTGGGAAATAGTGTGTGTTCATGAATAAAACAATTCAGCATACAAGCCTATGGGAAATTTGTGCTTTGTTGAACACTTTAATTCATGGTTCACCTGATCTCATATAATCCATGAAACTAGTTCCCTATGAATACACCTACTTCTAATCCAGGAAAATAAGTATCCCACAAGTTCTAATGAATGCACAGTACATCATGAGATTATATCTCTATGCACAAGTTATATACTTAATATGGCACTAGCTTCCACTTATATTTATGATAGAACTGCTTCACAAAAATTCTAACAATATCTTGGTTTGCAATTCATTATTATAATGTGGTAGGCTGTTTCAGAATAAGGGACAATTCACTCCCAAAATTTGAAACATTTTTAATCATTTATTGATTTAACAATGTTTTAGCTTATATGTTTGTATAAAGCTTTTAAAAACTTGTAACATCAAATGCTTATGCTAAATTCTTGTAGCAATACATAGATATATATGTATATAATCATTTTCACGTAGATGTTTCATTTAAATTGATTTAAATCTTTCACTTAACATTGATGAAAATAAAAAACAAGATAAACAGAATTTACCTATACTATTTAATAATAACTACATCTAATTACCCGGTATCAGGAAGTATGAAAACAAAATATATTACTTATAAATTAATGTGCAAATTAATTAATAATATAATTATAAAAACATATTAATATTTATTATCAAAAATATAAACCGGAAACATATATTCCTATTAATAAATTGTGTGAATCTAAATTTAAGGATGTTTGCTTGTCATGTTTTGTAATTTTTGTCAGATTTTCGGAATCCTCTGGTTTTATCCATTTGAAAGCCTTAAAAATTTTTGCCCACTAACCCCCATTTTTCTTTTTATGAATCTTTTACATGTATAATTATAAGCCATCTGTAAAAGTCTTATAAAATCTTTGTTATTTTTAATAGTTTTTGACAACTTAAACTTGTCAATGATAAAGCTATGAACAATCAAGAGAGAACATTTTCCCGCCAAAATTTCAATGGCTAATATCTCGAAAACAAGCACACGGACCTATATTTATTTCTCGCTCTTTTGGTTCCTTTATTAATCCTCTATCAATATATACTAGTGTTATGAAAAGCTTGTTATTTTGAAACTGAGTAGCAAACTTCCGTAAGTTTTGAAATGCAAAGAATACAAAATAAATTAAAGTATCAAATATTAATGAAATAGAGAACCATTGTTAATGTAAGACCAATTGTGAAAATATTGTCCTTTAGACCCAGATAAGCATAAAATGTGTGTTAGTTTCACTAAAGTAGGTAATTCATTTCATGAATATAGACAAATCATTTCATGCATTAGTTTGAAGGCTAATAGATGTGTGCATTATGGGCCCATTATAATGGAAACAGTCTTGAGATTCTGTCAATGTAATTCAATTTCTTAAAAAATATGCTGATTAACCTAACAGAAACATCTGAATATGCAAATATATTCACAGAAACCAGTTCTTATTTAAATATTCAGAAACATTTGTGGATATATTGCAATGCATTAAAGATAAAAAAAAAAATCTGTAGAACTTTTTAAATTCGATGTATGAATGATATAATTGAAGTTCTTGGTTAAATTCATAGTACAGTAGTCAGTTTGACAAAGAAGAGATTTATGAAAAAAGACTGATATTAAATGTAACAGATTCTCTGAAGTTATGGTGTGATTTAGAGGTTGTCACATTGTTTGTGTACTTGCCTATTATTTTTGAGGCCATGTGACAATATCTAAATGTCTGTTTGGTAAGCTTGCCTTGTCATTTGGTGGCATGTATACATATTTAAGGTTATATATGTTACATTTAGGATGGATCCATAATGCATACATCAGTGATCATAGATTGTAGTGTGCACACATATTAATCACTATATTTGTTCTATTTTCATACATCTCTGGATTTTACTAGTTGAGGCAGAAGGTATAGTATTAGCTACTTTTTAAATTGTTGATTAATTAATGTTTTAAATGATATGTATTGATTATTTGTTAGATTTACATGAGGAAGATTGTAACTTGATCAATATACCATTCGGGGATCACCACAGCCTCTTTATGGGTGAAGCTACTCCAACTTTGAATTTTTAGTCCCACCCTTGGATCTCCAGCACCATTCTTCATTTTTAGTGCCAACCTTAAATCATGAGATTGTATTTGAGAAATTTGAAAAAGGATTCTTAATGAAATTAATTTTGAAAGACTATAATAAAGTTTGAATTTGTTGGCAGTAAAATTAAGCTGTACTGCAGAGAGGTACAAACAGTTTAGATAATTATTTTATTAGCTCCATCCTTGGAAATGTATCTGTGATAAACCTAGTTATTTAATATAATACATAGACTTTGATTGTGGGTTTTAAGCTCATTAGCCCCTGTTCAGTTTAATTGTAAGAAAGAGTTATAATACATAGACTTTGATTGTGGGTTTTAAGCTCATTAGCCCCTGTTCAGTTTAATTGTAAGAAAGAGTTATAATTGTATTCCTTGATGGTAAAGATAATTTGACCCAATTTTTTGTGGCTTTTACCTGTATTGAGGAAGGAATTTGGGGGTAATTATCTCTGTCATTTGAACAAATTTTCTCTTTCTTATTGTTTGTAAGAGGAGTGATAGGACAATAATATATTTTTCATCCTGTAGAATTCATTGGTAACGTACATTTGATATTATATATATGTTGTACCGTTTAGCATGTTATCTATTTTGATGTTCTTTATTTCTTAAGTTACAATGATTTTACTGTTTATAAATTTTTGTTTCGAGTGTCTTCTATGTTTATGAAAATCATCTTAGCATTTCTGGTCTATATTTTGCTGACATATAAAATTCAGTGATCCCAGTGGAGGACATTCTCACTGTGTCTTTTGTAGAAACTGTGAAGTATTTCATGCATGTTATTTATTTTTATTAGTTTACAAATTCTGTCAAAATAAAAATGGAAAATATTTGAAATCTGGATTATGTATGTGTCTTATCTTCAATGAAATTGATGCATTGCTTCTGCTTGAGGAAAAGATAACTAGACCCAGGTCAGGGGTAAAAGGTCAAAGTTATATGATTGCATAACAGAAAAAAAAAGCTTATAGGCACATACATTTCAGCTTCTTGTATCTTATCATTCCTAACACTTCAGAATCAGAAGGGATAAAACAAAGGTTGTTTGATAGTATCTTAAGATTGATGATATGTTATTTTTTATGAAAAACAATGTTCTATCTTCAACAAAGTTTTAAGGGCTATTCCATTAAAATGTATGTGGGAGGGTAGGAAGGAAAGTTTAATTATTGAATGTGGGTCATGGGTCTTTTTTCAGTATGCGTCTATTACCATTATGCAAAATTATCTAAAAAATGGTTTTGGTTGTAGGGATATTTTGAAAGTCCCTTCCTACCCTCCCACATACATTTTAATGGAATAGCCCTTAAGAAAAATACAGAATATTTATATTTATTTCATGTATACTAACGTCTTAAAAGAAAAATTATAATACTCAAAATTGTAAAAGATATTTCAGAAAATTTTTATTTTTTAATGAAAGAAAAACTTTGATTTTCAATGTTTCATTATGCCTAAAATATTTATGCTGATGTGTAAAGAAATGCTAATTTTTAAAATATTTAATTTCATGCTATCTGTGATTTAGTTGTAGAAGAGGAAGGTAATGATATATGTATTTATCCAAAAATATAAGATCCTGAAAATAGAACACTAGTCCCAACAATTTGGATGATGGCAAACCATTATTCCCTGCCTCGTCAAAGTTTAGAAGGACAGATAGAGTTACTTTGTCATTCTCATCTGTGTTCACATGCATGAAACTGTTTAATATATACAGCCATATAAATAATGTGCATATCAATCTTTGATAGTCTGATGATATTTAAGAAGGTTAATGTCACTTGTCATATTCATGGTTCACGTATTTATTCAACCTCCAAATACATTGGATAACTCTGACATTTCAAGCTAATAGTTAATTTTAAATTCACAGATGCATGAAAATTACCTTATGTTAAGGATTCATATATAATAGTCATCACTGGCCTACATTTAAACCTCCCTGACTGAGATTAAGCTTTAGTTTATACCAAGACATTTAAACCTCCTGACTGAGATTAAGCTTTAGTTTATACCAAGACATTTAAACCTCCTGACTGAGATTAAGCTTTAGTTTATACCAAGACATTTAAACCTCCCTGACTGAGATTAAGTGTTAGTTTATACCAAAACATTTAAACCTCCCTGACTGAGATTAAGTGTTAGTTTATACCAAGACATTTAAACCTCCCTGACTGAGATTAAGCATTTGTTTATACCAAGACATTTAAACCTCCCTGAATGAGATTAAGCTTTAGTTTATACCAAGACATTGAAACCTCCCTGACTGAGATTAAGCTTTAGTTTATACCAAGACATTGAAACCTTCCTGACTGAGATTAAGTGTAACATCTCTGACTGAGATTAAGCTTTAGTTTATACTAAGCGTTGAATCCTTCCTTACTGAGATTAAGCTTTAGTTTATACCAAGACGTTGAAACCTCCCTTACTGAGATTAAGCTTTAGTTTATACCAAGACATTTAAACCTCCCTGACTGAGATTAAGCGTTAGTTTATACCAAGACATTTAAACATCCCTGACTGAGATTAAGCTTTAGTTTATACCAAGACATTTAAACCTCCCTGACTGAGATTAAACTTTAGTTTATACCAAGACATTTAAACTTCCCTGACTGAGATTAAGCTTTAGTTTATACCAAGACATTTAAACCTCCTGACTGAGATTAAGCTTTAGTTTATACCAAGACATTTAAACCTCCCTGACTGAGATTAAGTGTTAGTTTATACCAAAACATTCCTCCCTGACTGAGATTAAGCTTTAGTTTATACCAAGACATTGAAACCTCCCTGACTGAGATTAAGCTTTAGTTTATACCAAGACATTGAAACCTCCCTGACTGAGATTAAGTGTAACATCTCTGACTGAGATTAAGCTTTAGTTTATACTTAGCGTTGAAACCTTCCTTACTGAGATTAAGCTTTAGTTTATACCAAGACGTTGAAACCTCCCTTACTGAGATTAAGCTTTAGTTTATACCAAGACATTTAAACCTCCCTGACTGAGATTAAGCGTTAGTTTATACCAAGACATTTAAACATCCCTGACTGAGATTAAGCTTTAGTTTATACCAAGACATTTAAACCTCCCTGACTGAGATTAAACTTTAGTTTATACCAAGACATTTAAACTTCCCTGACTGAGATTAAGCTTTAGTTTATACCAAGACATTTAAACTTCCCTGACTGAGATTAAGCTTTAGTTTATACCAAGACATTTAAACTTCCCTGACTGAGATTAAGCTTTAGTTTATACCAAGACATTTAAACATCCCTGACTGAGATTTAGCTTTAGTTTATACCAAGACATTGAAACCTCCCTGACTGAGATTAAGCGTTAGTTTATACCAAGACATTTAAACCTCCCTGACTGAGATTAAGCGTTAGTTTATACCAAGACATTTAAACCTCCCTGACTGAGATTAAGCTTTAGTTTATACCAAGACATTTAAACCTCCCTGACTGAGATTAAGCTTTAGTTTATACCAAGACATTTAAACCTCCCTGACTGAGATTAAACTTAAGTTTATACCAAGACATTTAAACTTCCCTGACTGAGATTAAGCTTTAGTTTATACCAAGACATTTAAATTTCCCTGACTGAGATTAAGCTTTAGTTTATACCAAGACATTTAAACCTCCCTGACTGAGATTAAGCTTTAGTTTATACCAAGACATTTAAACCTCCCTGACTGAGATTAAACTTTAGTTTATACCAAGACATTTAAACTTCCCTGACTGAGATTAAGCTTTAGTTTATACCAAGACATTTAAACTTCCCTGACTGAGATTAAGCTTTAGTTTATACCAAGACATTGAAACCTCCCTGACTGAGATTAAGCGTTAGTTTATACCAAGACATTTAAACCTCCCTGACTGAGATTAAGCTTTAGTTTATACCAAGACATTTAAACATCCCTGACTGAGATTAAGCGCTAGTTTATACCAAGACATTTAAACCTCCCTGACTGAGATTAAGCTTTAGTTTATACCAAGACATTTAAACCTCCCTGACTGAGATTAAGCTTTAGTTTATACCAAGACATTTAAACCTCCCTGACTGAGATTAAACTTTAGTTTATACCAGGACATTTAAACTTCCCTGACTGAGATTAAGCTTTAGTTTATACCAAGACATTTTAACATCCCTGACTGAGATTTAGCTTTAGTTTATACCAAGACATTTAAACTTACCAGACTGAGATCAAGCTTTAGTTTATACCAAGACATTTAAACCTCCCTGACTGAGATTAAGCGTAATTTTATACCAAGACATTTAAACATCCCTGACTGAGATTTAGCTTTAGTTTATACCAAGACATTTAAACCTCCCCGACTGAGATTAAGCGTTAGTTTATACCAAGACATTTAAACATCCCTGACTGAGATTAAGCGTTAGTTTATACCAAGACATTTAAACCTCCCTGACTGAGATTAAGCGTAAGTTTATACCAAGACATTTAAACCTCCCGGACTGAGATTAAGCTTTAGTTTAAACCAAGACATTTAAACCTCCCTTACTGAGATTAAGTTTATTATTTGATAATTTCTGCTAGAAAACTAAATGGTCTAAACGTAAGTAACATAATGTGTTGACTCATGGACACAGCGAGTCTTTCAACAAAGGAGATTATAATCTGTCCTTCATGAAGGCTTTTTCTTTTTAGAATTGAGTCTTTTTCTCTTATATAATTATGTAACTAGGTTCAGCTCCAATAACATCAAATGTACTCAAAAATGACCTATATAAATAATCTCATTGGCATCAAGGTAAAATTCTCTTCTTTTTTTTAAGACTATGATAATCAACTTCTTGAGGTAAATTTCTGTAGCCATTGTTATGGCTATCTTAGATTTATAGTGCCATCATAAGGAGCAAGGCAAATTTTGTAATTGTAAATTATCTATACATATTTGGGCAGTGTATATCATATGCTTGACCTTCATCAATGTAATTGTCAGATGCCTTACCTTTATCCATTGCAGAGTCTCATGCTTGATTTTTATCCCCGACAACATGCTTGACCTTAATCCAGTTCAGTATCATTAGCTTGCATCCAGGATAGTCATATTGAAACCTTTTTCCAGGGCAGTGTAACATGTTAGACCTATATGCAGGGCAGTGTTGCATGTTTGACCAATATCCAGGGCAGTGTCATATGTTGAAATTTGTCCATGGCAATATCACATGCTTGACCTATATCCTGGATAGTGTCATTGAACTGTTATCCAGGGTAGTGTCACATGCTTGTCATTTAACCAGAGCATTGTCACATATTTGATCTTACAAAACAGTGTCACATGTATGATCTTTGTCCAGATCAGTGTCACATGTTTGATCTTTGTCCAGATCAGTGTCGCATGTTTGATCTTTATCCATTTTTATGTCACATGTGTTGGTCTTTATCTAGCGGGGAAGTATCCTATATTTGATCTTTATTTATGGCTGTGTCACAATCTTTACTTATATTAAGGAAAGTGTCACAAGCTTGACCTATATTTCGGAAAGAGTCACTCACTTTACTGTTATATAATTCAGTGTTTTAGTCTATGCATCTTCTATACATGTAAAAAGTAAAATAACAAAATTACCAAACTCCAAGGAAAATTCAAAAAGGAAAGTCCCTTATCAAATGGCAAAATCAAAAGCTCAAACACTTCAAAGAATGGAAAACAACTGTCATATTCCTGACTTGGTAATTCAAATAATGTCATTTCACAAGAAAGCAACCATTCTATTTATAGATATATATAAACAATTTTTAACAAATAGATATTCTTTATCCATCAGTTGACAAGAAAAGTATTCCCTTAAAGAATTTTTTGAATTCCCAGGAAATTAATCATATTATGATTAAATATATGTTGCACATATTAACCATGAATATACATTTTCACATATATTTAACCTCATGAATCTTTTTTAAGAAACCCATTTACTTCTATGTTGATCATTTCAGAATCTTTTTTATAAACAAAGCATGCATTTTGATAATTCCGGTTATCCTTTTAAGTATTGTTCACTGCTAAAACTTCAATTTTTTTTCTCTTGAAACATAGTATTATTTATGTATGCTAAAGTTTTATTCTGTCAGAAATTGCTAAAAACCATATGTATGCATAATACATTTGAGATTTGTTTATCCATAAATAATGTTTTACTGATATCTCAGTTTGGAATTTTACCTTTTTTAAAAATGAAAATATATTAAATAACAAGGAATTATTTGAATCTGAAATAATTTTGAATTCTGGAAAACTGATAAGAAATGTATGATGAAAACTAACCCAACTAAAGGCTAAGGTTAATTTTACTTTCGCTGATATTTCTGTATGAACTAACTAAATTGGGTTAGTTTTCATCATAAATTTCCTGTCAATTTTCCAGAATTCAAAATTATTCCAGATTCAAATAATTCCTTGTTTAATTAACATTTAGATATAAGTGTAAGCTGTCCTTCACATAATCTTGCAATGCTAATGTAATGCTAAACTGCAGCAGTTTCCTTGTTCACTTTTAAAAGATGGAATATAAAATGGTAAACACATGACATGTGGCTTGTGTTCTGTTTTTGAATATCATGTCAAGATGTTGATACCTAACAGCTTGTGTGTTTTTGATATGCTAACAGATACTATATTTATGATAAAAAGAATATTTTGATTTTCAGAGGAAGAATTAATAAAGGAATACACAGAAGGAATAAAAAAGACGGACGATAAGAAATTACACCGAATGATGTCTACTTTATCAGATGGAAAATCTGCAGCTCTTGAAAAACAGGAATCTGTCACTGATAAAAAGAAGAAGAAAGGAAAGAAGGTTTGTGATATACTCACAGTTTATTACTTATTATAATTAATGTGCTGAGAGACATGGTGTTAAATATAAAAATAAGGAGTTGTGGTATGATTGCCAATAAGACAACTATCCACCAAAGTTAAATTGAAGTGGATGTAAGCAATTATAGGCAACCGTACGGCCTTCAACATTATAGTCGGCTATTAATGGCCCTGACATAAAAATATGAAACAATACAACTTAGAAAACTAACAGCCTAATTTATAACAAAACAATTTACGAAAAAAAATAAAATACCACAGACATGAACCAACGACAACCACTGAACTACAGGCTCCTGACTTGGGACAGGCGCATAAAGAATGTGGCGGGGTAACACTCCCCTAACCTGGGACAGTGGTAATAGTAAATGTTTTGGTGAAGAGGATCTTTGGTAATTTTCATTGGTAAAGTGGACCTTTGTTGATCTTTGTATATTATTTCACATGATAACCAAGAAAATGTCCTCGTAAATGAAAATAAAAAATACAAGAAGTGGGATTTCAGACAATATTATAAAATGAATGACATACTGACTTTTATCAGTTTTGTCAGTATGTTATGGGCTCCAGTTGCGTTCTCTCTTTATGTCACAAGGTCACTTTTTAAGCAAATAAAACATTTAAATAAAAAGGTTTTAAAGATTTTTAAAGGTCACTGGTCCTTTTAAATAAGAAGTGAGGACACAAGGTTGCCGACCAAACTCCTGGAAGTCCTAGGCCAGATTTGTTGATGTTGGATATACATCATTCAAAAAGGCAGTATGGGGAAAACACAGACATAAAGTAGTGTACATTCAAAAATTTTTTTTATCAAAAACCCAATTTTGCTGCTTTTATGTGAACTAACTAAACCACTGCAAATGTTTGGCTTATTGTCTCGTGGATTAGCGTTATGAACTTTTAATGACTATTTTGGTCAGTGAAAAGGATTTATAAAATTTTTGATATTTGACTGATTCTGTTGTCCGTGCAATAACTTGAAAACACTTTGACAAAATCTTTTCAAATTTAGATATGTTGTTTCCTGTGTCTAAATAATGGTCAAGTTCAATTTTCACGATTTTAGCTTTTATCAAGGTGGAGTTGTAGACCTTTCAGTAGCGAAAAGTGATACTTGGAGCGTTGTCCGTGCAATAACTTAAAAACGCTTTGACGAAATCTTTTCAAATTTAGATATGTTGTTTCCTGTGACTAAATGGAGGTCAAGTTCGATTTTCATGATTTTAGCTTTATTCGTTGTTGAGTTGTAGACCTTTAAGTAGGGAAAAGTGATACTTAGATTGATTTTGGCCTTTCCATTTCTGAACCCTACAAAAATTCATTTATTTTTTTACTTGATCCTGTTTTGGGGTCCAGATTTGCAAATATCATTTTCATGCAGGAAAATCAGGTTTGCTGTCACTCTGAAAGACTCTTGTCTAAATAGTTTGCTGTACTAATATACATTATTGTTTAGGGGCCAGTTGAAGCCCACCTCTAGTTGTAGGATTTTTCTCCCTGCTTTGGAGATGCATTGGTGGCCTTAGGCTGTCTTCTGCTCTTTGGTCGGGTTGTTGTCTCTTTGACATTCCTCATTTCCATTCTCTATTCTAGTAGTTGATAAATTGTGTTAGTGGATAGTTTTGTAATTGACAGTGTGGTAGAAGAATTTGGAGATTACAGTATTGTATTTAAAGATTTGTAGGCATCAATTGGTGATTTGATGATCTGAAATTGAGTTTACTGACAACTTGATCATTAAGTTAATATGTTGATGCCATAAAATCTTCAAATAGAATACTTTATCTATCTTCTTTTGCAACTGAAAGAAAACACTGCTAAATCATACATTTTAAAATCAATTATGTGACATCTGCTCTTGCACACACAATGGAATTGTTGCCCTGATATTGTGGCATTATACAATCAGAATGAACATTGGAGTGAGGTAAGAGTTTTTTTGCTCCATGTTGAAGGTCTTACTGTGACTTTGAGATGGAAGAACAGCAATAAAAGCACTGTTCCTTTGCTTTTTGTGATTTTTGTTGTGCATGTACTGATCTTGTGTCATTACAAACAATGTAACATTAATATCAGAATTAAGTTTTGAACAACTAATACTATTAATGGCAGACAACAGAACATCCGTAGTTGATTTAACTTTGTAAGGACAACAGTATATATCTTAATTCAGTCTTCTGGCATATTATGTTTTATTTTTTTTAAAGGGCGACAAGGAAGAAAAGGAAAAAAAACCTGATGTAGGATTTGGCCGAATTATTCGTTATAACTCTCCTGAATGGCCGTATATTTTGGTTGGATGTATTGCTGCATGTTTGAATGGTGGAGTTCAGCCAGCATTTGCTGTCATCTTTGCAGAATTAATCGGAGTAAGCATTGTTATAACAGTTTTTGTCATCAATTATGGTATGATGATGTTTCATTGTATACTTAGTTGTCTTTAGTGCAAAAGATTTCGTTCATCATAGGCTTTGTTAAACCAAAAACTTTAAAATCTGTATTTATTGCTTAGCCATTTAAAGCATTGGAGCATTTAAGAGTAAGAGCTAAGACTGGTTGAGATTGAATCAAAGTTATCTGTTTGGGAAGGGTTACATGACTTAATGGTAATTTGATTGGCCAGGACAAGTGAAAGTAACTATCATACAACCAAAGCTGTCATACACTTTTCTGATTAGACAACTCAAATGTTCTCATGCTGCCAAGATGAAAAGGATATCTCATTAAGAGTTTGTCTGTAATAATTGATTTTAATATTAATCATTGACATCATCACTCATTCTTTTTAGTTCACATATTTCCCCCTGCTAATTATAGATCATTTAATAATATCCACCAATCAGAATATTATTAGATTATCCAAATAAAAATATATCTAGACATCTATCCACTAGAGACCAATCGATGTGGATGTAAACAACTATAGGTCACTGAGCAGCCTTCAACAATGAGCAAATTTCATTCCATATAATAAGCTAGCCTAGAAAAGTCACTGGCATTACAAAATGTGGAAAAATTCAAATGGGAAAAAACCAACTGCCTGATTTTTTGAAAAAAACAATAAACAAAAAAAAATAGACTGTAATCAACAACAACCACTGAATTACAGGCTCCTGACTTGGTCAAGGCACATACAGAATGTGGCTGTGTTAAACATCTTTCAAAGGGTATCAATCTTCCCCCATTACCTGGGAGGACAGTAATGTGACAGCACAAAATAAGAATAAACTGTAACAGTTACTGAAAACTAGTTCAAAGTCAATTTCACCGAAAAAAATAAATACTGTTTTGCAATTTGTACTTATCTCCCTTGCCTATCAATTCTGCACTCAAAAACATGTGTCGCATCACAGTGTAGAAATGACTTCTCAGTTCTGTTAGGGCTAAGGGAAATATATTATTTTGCCTTAGGTAAAATGCAGAGTGCATGAAGTGTCTAGTAATAAAAAATACCGTCTGCACACATCGACCAATCAGGATTAGCCATACTCTTAATTCTGAATACCATGTTATCTTCATAAAATGGCTGTGCCCATAACATTTAATGGTTGATTGTAACCTTAAAGAACTTGTGGCTCAACATTGTGTGTGCACTTTGTCAAAATGGACTGTATGACCAATAATAATAACTTTGCGTCTGCCTGCTGTTTGTCCAAAAAAAATAATTTCTGAAAGTATCCAACCGATTTAAACCAAACCTGGCATGTTTCATTACCAGTGTAGAGAAGTATACCAGGATATATTGGCTAAAGTTTAAAAGAAGCCATTATTTTTTTGCTGTATGCTATGACCAGTATCACTGTACATTATTTCTTACAAAGCAGAATGATCTGTTAATCAAAGTATGTTATGATTTACCAATAAAAATCAGTTATTTTAAATGATGACAGAGATCACAATGTCATACAAAGTTATTTTAAATGATGACAGAGATCACAATGTCATACAAAGTTATTTTAAATGATGACAGAGATCACAATGTCATACAAAGTTATTTTAAATGATGACAGAGATCACAATGTCATACAAAGTTTGGGTAGTTTCACCTATTGATAAGATAATGTCAACATATCTTATTATTTATTTTCAGGTTTTTGCAGAACAAGATCAAGACAAACAGGAAAAAGAAGTTCTGATGTATTGTTTGATATTACTTGGTATTGGTGTAGCAGGTTTTATAGGATTCTTTCTACAGGTAATTATATCTACAGGTAATTATATCTACAGGTAATTATATCTACAGGTAATTATACCCTCTAGGAGTGGGGGCATTCACCTTGTCCATCCATCTGTCTGTCCCATTGTCCATTTGTTCAACAAATACTTCTTTTACTCTTTTCTAAGATACTATTGAACATAATGACTCTGAATTTTTCAATATGCTCATGAATTGATTTAAATATTTTCTACATTCTTTTCTCAAGTAGCACCATTCAGAAGGACTTCATATTTAGTTAGCAGTGTTTCGGTGATGAATTGTAACATGGGAGGACTTTTGGGATCTGTAAGACACGTACTTCTGTTTTCTAATGCTTTGAATTACAAGTAGGAGAATGCCTAGCAGGAAAAGAATGCATGCAGTTCATCTTAAGGGGGTACCCAACACTTTGACTAAAATAGATTTGGCTTGTTTAATTTTCATAAAGTTTTGACAAAATATTTACTATGACCAGCTGACAAAAATATAAAAAGTTCCAAGAAATTTGAACCACAAAATTTACAGGAATAATTTCATTGGATATATAGCAGTTTAACACTAATTTTGATCACTGAGAAGCTTGATTTGATTTCTCTTTACTAATAGTATATGATTAAAACTTTCATCTGATTTTTAAAGAGTTGACTCCCTAAGGTGTTCTGTAACCCCTTAATGCAGTATTTTTATTTAAACGAATGGTACTGCTACCGACTTTTAAATGGCTGTTGTAAACATAGGATATACCCCTTGTAAAAGTGGATTGTGACATATATTTTTATTTTAAAGGCATAGCGAGCATTATTTTAAATTGTATGTCAAAATTCGCCTGACAGATTATATATTGAACACTGGCAGATAATATGAATTTCTCTGTTAGGCCAGGTTTTTTTAATTTGTTGGTTTACGGATCCACCGACCCTATTTTTCTGATTTTCAGAAAAAGAAAATACAAAAATACATTTCATGCTTTTTTATTCCCACCTAATCTAACAAATACATAATCCCTGAAATATAAAAATATCTGGGTAACAACTTTTACTGAAATTTAATTCTTTATTTTAGCATGTTAAAACTTTAACAGAAATGATTATAAAAGAATAAAAATCTAAAAATAATTGGTAGTGTTTATGTTCCTAAAAATAGACAATCAAAACTGAGCATGAAATGTTGTTTATGCAAATTATTTTATTTTTATGTTAAAAGCCCATTACACTAAGTTTTTCTTTTTTTTCATAATTTTGTGATATTTTTCATCTCATAGATAAATTGAACCCCTCCAAATGTGAAAGATGTAAAGTTAAAAGTAACAGATATCCACAAACATTTTGGAATTTTCTTGTTTCATAGATTTCAAAAATAAGATCCGTCCATTTGGATATCAAGAGTGGGATTGCCAGCCATATGATGAAACTTATATCCTAGTTTTTTTCAATCAGACAGGTCTTCATCGTTAGACATGGATGGTAAAGTGGTTTTTTTGTGCGACGTGTTTGCAATTTTATTTCACATTTTTTGTGCTTGAAGCTGATTATTTACTATGTTTCCTTAAAGTAAAAAGCAGCGAGTAGCTGGATTTCTTTCATTCAGGAAATTACCATTTATTTCTCGTTTGTCCGTGGTCATACCCCCCTTTTTACAAACTTAATTATTTGATGATGGGATTGTATGTTTAAAACCGCTGAGCAATAATGTTTGTAACTAAAAATTTTAAAAAAGCACACCAAATCTATTGTTAGTAAGCTGAAATATGTATTTAATCTATACATATTTCTGTCTTGTAAGATATTTCTTCTTTTTAGCTCACTGGGGCCCAAAGGGCCCCATGTGAGCTTATGCCATCACTTGGCGTCCGTCGTCGTCCATCGTGGTCGTCTGTCGTTGTCTGTCGTCGTAAACTATTTCAAAAATCTTCTCCTCTGAAACTACTGGGCCAAATACCTTCAAACTTTAACTAAATGTTCCTTAGGGTATCTAGTTTATAAATTGTATCCAAAGTTTTGATCCATCGACAAACATGGCCACCATGGCTAAAAATAGAACATAGGGGTCAAATGCAGTTTTTGGCTTATATCTCATAAACTAAAGCTTTTAGAGCAAATCTGACATGGGGTAAAATTGTTCAATTAGTCAAGATCTATCAGCCCTGAAATTTTCAGACGAATCGAACAACCCATTGTTGGGTTTCTGCCACCAAATTGGTAGTTTTAACAAAATTTTGCAGATTTTTGTTATTATCTTGAATATTATTATAGATAGATATAAACTGTAAGCTGCAATAATGTTCAGCAAAGTAAGATCTACAAAAAAGTTAATCTGAACAAAATTGTAAATTGACCCCTTAAGGAGTTATTGCCCTTTAAAGACAATTTTACACAATTTGTTCATCAAGTTTGCTAACATTTAAAAATCTTCTCCTCTGAAATACAGGTGAGCGATTCAGGCTCTTGAGAGCCTCTTGTTGTTTTTTTTCGACCGACTGACCTGACTTTTTCACCTTAACCAACAAATTAAAAAACCTTGGCCTTACGAAGATACACAGTTTTCACAGTAATGTCATTTATTTATAAAACTAAAACAGACATATAGAAGCATTATTAATTTTGATAAATTCAGTATCTTGTTTAGAAATTTGATTCAAAATAACCAGCTTTTCCAGAATCCAGTTTAAAAATCAACAAACATTCAGAAAAAAAAAAGAAATTGACATGAATCAAGTTATTCAGAAAAATTCTGTAATATTAAGATTGTTAAAATTGTCTACATACAGATTTTGAATTGATCAGCAAACCATTTCAGATATTCAACTTCTGTCCATCTTAAAGTATTGCTTATTATGAAACTTGTAATTTATAATTCCTTTTCTGTTTTATTAATAACAAAAAAAAATAATTCATATAATAATACTGTGTAGAATCTGAAAAATAAAAATCTTTTACAATTATAGAAAAGTCAGATGCCATTAACAAACATTTCATCCATTAGGGTTTAAAGAATTTAGACACTTTTTTATAGAAATTTGTATTTGTTTTGATATCATTAAAAATGTAAGACTATGTTTTACAGGGTGCCATGTTTGGTAGATCTGGAGAAAACTTAACCATGAGAATCAGAAAGAATACATTCAGGGCAATGATAAGACAGGTAGAATTATGTGTTATTTGGCTCTTTTTTATATATTTTATGCTTTCACTAACTGGTTGGGTATTTGTGGCATATAAAAGTATGCTTACACATACTGATCATATAATGAATATACAAATGAATGCATGCTTCCATTCTTTGAATGATCCCTTCAGTTAAAAGGCATGTCTTTATTTCTTTAATGGGTATTGGTCTTGATATAACAAAGCCATGTCTCATACAATGCCAGTTCAGAAAGGCACGTAAGTACGTCCGTATGTCCGTACGTCCCGAATTGGGTTCCGTTCTTTAACTTTAGTTTGCCTCAACCAAATTTTATGAAACTTGTACACAATGCTAATTACCACAAAACACAGATCAAGTTTTAATTTTGGTGGTGTCACTTTTACTGTTATATAGTTATGCCCTTTACTAATGGAAAAATTGCTGAATTTTTCGTTTCCGTTCTCTCACTTAAATTTGCCTCAAGCAAATGTTATGAAACTTATACACAATGCTTATTACATCAAAACTCAGATCATGTACGAATTTGGGTAGCGTCACTTTTACTGTTCCTGAGTTATGTCCCTGTATAACGTTATATGCAAGCGCAGTGCTCGAAACTAAAGGTCGTCCAGTCGCTACAGGAGACCATTTTACGATTTGGACCACCAAATTTGATGAAATAGGAACAGATACTGGCCCAAATAAATTCAAATCGGGCGAGTTTCTGCAGTTCATGTTTTTTCGGTAATTTCCCTTTGCTAAAAATATCTTTCTACTGTTTCTTTCTTATGGCCTCAAATAATAACGTTCTGCTGAAGAAGAATACCTGATACCAGTGTCACCTGATGATAGTGACCAATAAGATTCGTTTCACTTTCGTGATAATAATAGAAACCAATAAGAAGCCTTGCTGCTCATGACGTTGCATGCTGAATTTGGTATCTCTCTCTAGACCCTACTCTTACAACAATGTCCACAGATTTCTTGAAGTCTTTTTAAGAACATACATCAGAACATTTTTTCGGCAAATAAAATTGTTACCCAATCAATATTGCCTTAGGTGATGTTCCATCCATTTATTGCATTAAAAATGTTATATTCCTTTCCAAATCACTTGTCAAACATTGTTTGTTTTTGTAAGTTTTTTTTTATCCGCCATTGAAATATTTATACTAATCACTGATCGGAGGTGGATCAACTATGAGCGATATCTGTATTTTTACGATGATAACTACAGACAAACAAATGAACAGCTGACATAAGAATAATGATCCCAAAAGTGAAAAATACTCTTTCCATACGCTTAAAAGACATTTGTTTAGAACTCCCTTTAATTAAATGTATATTTCCATGTGAATGCACTTTCAATTTATTGATTAAAACTGCTAAAATTTAGACATCCTTTTAATGAGAAACAATGAATTTCATAAACAGAATAGTTTTCTTCATTGAATTTTAATTGATGAGTTATTATTTCTTTTTCTTTTTAATTTAAAAACAAATTTCTTTAATATTGATAGATATTTAGTTGGTAGCTTCTTACAAGTGAAAAAAATATGCATGTGTAGCTACATGTGTAAATGACAATTTAAGACATAAACTGAGAGAACTGTTAATTTCATAATAATTGTATTCACATGTATTTTTTTAGCAATATATAAAAAGAATTGAATAAAAATAAAATGCATATGGTCCTTATTATTTTTGTAAAAACCAAACATTATAGGCCATGAGCAAACAAGGACTTCTCTTTTAAGTCTTGCCACTTCTTCCTATCAGTTTCAAATAGAGAAGTCACTTCTCCCTATGATTGTAAAATTGTGTGAACCCTGATTCAGGCTATGAATTAATCATTTATCATTTCGATTTAGAGGTTTGGCCTTTATTTAAAAACCATGTTCAGTGCTAGAAAAATTCAACATAACATGTACAAAGGATTCTGAAATTAATCAATGTGCCTGCACATGTCAAGGTCATTGTTCTGTTCTGTTCTGTACAGGTATAATTCCCCTTTTTGTCGAGCCTGCGACTTTTGTCGCAAAAACGAGACATAGCGATCCTACATTCCGTCAGCGGCGTCCTCAAATATTCACTCTGTGGTTAAAGTTTTTGAAATTTTAATAACTTTCTTAAACTATCCTTGTTTTCTACCAAACTTGGACAGTAGCTTGTTTATGATTATAAGATAGTATCCAGAAGTAAATTTTGAAAAAAAAAAAAAAATCTGTTTTTTCGGTATTTTATTTATAAATGGACTTAGTTTTTCTGCCAGTTAACATTACATTCACTCTGTGGTTAAATTTTTAAAAATTTTAGTAACTTTCTTAAACTATCCTGGATTTGTACCAAACTTGGACAGGAGCTTGTTTATGATCATAAGATAGTATTCAGAAGTAAATTTTGAAAAAAAAACAAATTTCTGTTTTTCGGTATTTTATTTATAAATGGACTTAGTTTTTCTGCCAGTTAACATTACGTTCACTCTGTGGTTAAAGTTTTTAAAATTTTAATAACTTTCTTAAAATATCCTGGATTTCTACCAAACTTGGACAGAAGCTTGTTTATGATCATAAGATAGTATCCATAAGTAAATTTTGTAAAAAAAAAATTCCTGTTTTTCCGTATTATATTTATAAATGGACTTAGTTTTTCTGCCAGTTAACATTACATTCACTCTGTGGTTAAATTTTTAAAAATTTTAATAACTTTCTTAAACTATCCTGGAATGTACCAAACTTGTAAAAATTTATTTCTTGTTTTTTCTGTATATTACTTATAAATGGACTTAGTTTTTCTTCCAGTTAACATTACATACAGTCTACAGTTAAAGTTTTTAAAACATTTATTAGATTCATAAACCATTTCATTAACTGTATCTATTATGTGCATTCCCCTTTCACACTGAAAACATAGACAACAGCAAAAGTAGGCGAGACACTGGGTTCCGCGGAACCCTTACAAATTTTTTGAATCATAGCCCTCCTACTTAGGATAATGATTTCACTTAACTTAAGCTTATATTTACAAAATGTGAAAAAAGTTAAAAATCAAAACTGATTTCGAAAAGGATGTTTATGATGTCATGAATGGGAAAGAAGTCTTTGAATTTCACTATATAAAGATTAATAAAAGATTGTTGTATTTTGTTTGGGCCATTAAAATTCTATTCGGGCTACCAAAATTTGAGTCTCTGAAAAAATTGGTGGCCCAAACTTTCACATTTGGACCAACATGGTCAAAAAATGAGTTTCGAGTACTGAAGCGGGTGCATCATCTGTGTCCCATGGACACATTCATGGGACAGATTCCCCATTTATTTAGATGTGAATAAGAGAAGATTTTGTTTTTCATCATAATGATGATAATAAACAAGAAGTTATCATTGAAATCGGCATTGTACGAGTACATTTTATCATCAAGATCGTATATGAAATTTTAAATTGATGTGGAACACTGAGAGAAAATGACACCTTACTCGAATTATGGCTTGTCTCTTATAAATGGATACATTATTGAGGTAAGGCTGGTTTGCTTATCTACATATCTACATACGGCGATCTTTGTAGCTTTCAATCCTTGCATGTACAAATTAATTATTGTTTGTTTTTAAATAAGAGATTTCCTGCATGATGCATCTGAAATGGATGAATATTTACACCTTTACAATATATTATATCAATTTCTATAAATTTTTTCACATCCTTGCCATGCAGGATTCTCGTTGACATAGTTAATAAAACACTGCTTTTATAGTTAATCACAAATTTTGTCTTGTTTGCACATTTTTGTAACTACCAATGTACATTTGGTTGATGAATTTATAAAATGGATGTTGATTGTGGTCAGATCATACATTCATTTAGAGCAGTAAGTAATGATTCTGTTCTGTATGTACTAACAATCATGGGCAAAGTTACAGTCAAATTTTGTTTATTACCCATAATGCACAATACATGGGTATAAGTTGTGTCTGGTACAAATTTTCCAGCGAATAATTCCCTATATTTTTTGTGGAGGATAATTCTGTGAAATCCAGCTAAAGCCAGATTTTAGTAACAAATTGTTAATGTTTTCTCTGAATATAAGATCTGAAAGGTTCTTTTCAATTGGCTAGATAGGAAAATCTATATTTCTACTGTCCAATAATTTCTTCTGTCATATCTTGCTTTGCTATAATATACATATTCAAATAATCTATTTTCATTAATCTTACTGTTAAAATTGAGATATATGGGAAGAAACTGAGGAAAATTCTTTGAATTTTGTAAAATAATCCAAAATTGGGTAGTTGTTTTGAAGTAGTCTTGACTGATGTTTTATGCCTTAAATTGTATATTTCAGGATATATCCTGGTATGATGATCATAAGAATGCTACAGGTGCTCTTACTACAAGACTGGCAGTTGATGCTTCTCAAGTACAAGGGGTATGTATGGATTGCTCACTATTATTGTACAAATATAGGAGATATATTTTAATTTTTGTTTATTATAATTATTAATATTATTTTATGAAATTTTGATTATTCAAGAAGATTGTCTTCAAATTCTTTTGCAAGTTTATTACATAAGTAAAAAAAAAAATTTAAAAGTATTTATTGAAAAGTTATTGAACAAATGGAAAACAATATTTGATGGCATCAATTACTTACTTCCTGTCTTACACAAATATATAAGTGGTAGGTATTCTTCAGGTTTGTACTGCTCTCAGAGATACAACCGACAAATTACTATCATTACTAAACACACCGTTTATTTGGAATCATTTATATTTCAGTGTTTATTAGGAATCATTTATATTTCAATGTTTATTTCTTAAACTGTGTTTACAAAACAAATGTAGAATGATTCAATAGTATCCCTTGTTTTACAGGCTGCTGGTGCAAGACTCGGTAGCCTGGTACAAAACGTTGCCAATATGGGAACAGCCCTGGTTATTTCTTTTATTTATGGATGGCAACTTACTCTTGTTATCATTGCATTTTTGCCTGCGATTGCTGTGGGTGGAGCATTACAGATGAAAATATTAAATGGCGTTGCTGGGCAAAATAAAGAAGCATTGGAGGAAGCAGGCAAAATTGCTACGGAAGGTGTAGAAAATATACGGACAGTCGCATCATTGACGAGGGAAGACAGGATACATGATATATATCTTGAAAGTCTGAGGGGACCATATCAGGCTGCTCTTAAAAAGGCACATGTGGCAGGATTTGCTTTCTCCTTTTCACAATCTGTTATTTTCTTTGCCTATGCTGGAGCTTTCTTTTTTGGAGCATACATGATCAAAGAAGGGGAAATGGACTTTGTTGATGTTTTTAAGTAAGTTTAATTTTAAAGTACCCTCTGCATCTAAGTGTGTGTGTCAGCTTCCACAGCCACATCTCAGTAACTACCCATATTTAGGGTTCAACTATTTTTTGTATATTTGAAGATTTATGTCCACATTGGTTAAGTTTTTCATTGAAGTTCATATGTCTTTCACTATAAGCACTAGGATAATCTAAAGTTGCTTATATATACATATTATATGAGAAAAAGGTCTGCATTCAAGTATAAGTAGCTCACTATTACCTACATTTTCTGCTTCTTTGCCTTTGGTTGAGTTTAACTACAAACTATAACTAATAGGAGGTTCATTTCATTTTGGGGAATATATCAGCATCCAGACATCATCCATAAATTTTATAGATATGTATTTTGGGAGTATATCAGCATATGTAGGTCACTGTGACCTACATTTAATGCTTCATTGTCTGTGATTAAGTTTTATATCTTCATTGTCTGTGATAAAAGTTTTATATCAGAAGCCATATCTCGTTATCTGTAAGAGATTGGATCATCTTACTTGCAAAGTTATTTAAATATTATTGTTGGGAGTAATTCAGCATCAGGCAAAAATAGGTCACAGAATACGTTTCATTCTTTAATTTACTGAATTTGTATGTCTGTGAAAAATTGGTAATAGGATCATTTAAAGTTATATATAGCTGTAGCTTGTGGATTTATAGGTAAGCATCAAAGTGAAAGCAGATCACTAAGACCTAAATTTCATGCTCCATTGACCTTTTTGTCGATATAACGAGAGGGTGTTTATCAACTACAATCTCAGCGAAGGGTGACCAACCATTGATAATCTGTTTATTGCTGTTTTCTTGGCACCATCAATGATGTAGGCCCATGACGTCATACATTTTCTTTCTACACGACTGAGAAAAACCCATATCATTGGAGTAATGAGATATAAAAAATTATCACAAACAAAAGATCAAAGTGAAATTTTAGAAAATAGCAATAACAAACTTTATGATGAATTATCAAAATATTCTAGCATGCAATAATATTATGGAATCTCATCTTCATTTCCAGACGTACATTTTTAAAAGTTGAAAAGTGGGCAAAATTTCCATTTGATAATTATAATTCCACTTTACATTAAACAATCCAATATAGAAAGCATCATTTATGCTGTTTCTAGATTCATTGAGATTTATCTTGGTTTGAAAAATAGATTAGAATACATAGCCATAAAATATGTTTTAACTATAGCAAATGGTCAAGAACAATTTAGGGTATATTTTGCAACTAGGTTTATCTATGCTGTTACTCAGAAAAAGAATTTTACGCCTTCAAGTTTATTTTTTACCATCAAGATTGAGCTTTGACATACTTCAAGAAGGAATTATTAACTATTAGAGTACTACAATCAGTGTGATTGATTTAGTGTTTACTCATAATTACTTGATATTCAATTGAGTTTAAGCTTTATTTATTTTTTAGGGTATTTTCTGCCATTGTTTTTGGAGCTATGGCTTTAGGACAGGCCAGTGCATTTGCACCAGATGCAGCTAAAGCCCAAGCCTCATCAGAAGTTATTTTCCCACTGTTGGATACAACACCTACCATTGATGCTGAATCTGAAAATGGAGAGAAACCACATGCTGTATGTATATAGGCATACAATACACTTACATTATTAGATAATATAAAATTTAATATTATACCTCAACTCCTGAGGAGTGGGGGCTATACTGCAATCCGTCTGTTTAGCAAACAAATCTTCTCGTCACACTTTTCACAGACTACTGCACAGGATTACTTCCCAGCAGCAGCTTGACAGTGATGAGTTGTAACATGTGAGCACTTGTTAGATCTGTCAGATGCTTACTTGACAGTAATGAGTTGTAACATGTGATGACAGTGATGAGTTGTAACATGTGAGCACTTGTTAGATCTGTCAGATGCTTACTTGCTGCTTGCAGATACTTTGAATTTAATATACTACTGAACAGAGTGACTGCATATTTTGTCAGCAGCTCAATAGTGATTAGTTGTAAAATATGTGCGCTCTTTGGATCTGTTAGTCACCTATTTCCTAGTTTTTTTGTCATATTTACGAGGAAGTGAAAGCTAGACTAAATAATGTGCTGTTACCAACGGCTGCGTCGTTGTCAACAATTTGTAAAAGTTTGTGATTAGATCAGTTTAAAGGCAATTCTTTTTATCTTAACCGGCTCAATTGATTTTCATTCACTAATGTAAAATGTTAAATTTCAGGAAACAGTAACCAGTACTGTCACATTTAGAGACTGCAAGTTCCGATACCCTACTCGTCCAGATGTTGAGGTCCTACAGGGATTGTCTTTAACGGTAGATCCAGGACAGACCCTGGCATTAGTGGGGACCAGTGGATGCGGAAAGTCAACAACAGTTGCCCTGATAGAAAGATTTTATGATGTAGAGGCAGGATCTGTGGTGAGTAAGATTTTATTGTGTAGAGGCAAGATCTGTGGTAAGATTTTATCATGTAGAGGCAGGATCTGTGCGGAGTTAGATTTTATAATGTGGAGGCAAGATCTGTGGTGAGTAAGATTTTATCATGTAGAGGCAGGAAATGTGTAGAGTAAGATTTTATCATGTAGAGGCAGGAAATGTGTAGAGTAAGATTTTTTAATGTGGAGGCAGGATCTGTGGTGAGTAAAATTTTATGATGTAATGGCAAGATCTGTGGTGAGTAAGACTTTATCGTGTAGAGGCAAGATCTGTGGTGAGTAAGATTTCATGATGTAGAGGTAAGATATGTGGTGAATAAGATTTTATGATGTAGTGGCAACTTCCTGTTTACCAAAAACTTATATAGTCCAACACATATTAACCATGTATGAAGTTTTCGTCTCATTTTCTAGGGAACTTAACATAAGAGCTTCATGAAATTGTTATCTGTCTTCATGTGATAATGCTTTATTGTGTAATGCAGTTTCAGATTCGTCGATCCTCAACTTCCTGTTTACCCAATACATATATTTTCTTACACATAATTGCCATGTATGAAATTATCTTTGCATTTTTAAGGAAACTACAAATAAGAGTTTCCTGAAATTTATTGTCAGTCTTCATGTTATAATGCTATACTGTGTACATGTTATAATGCTATACTGTGTACATGTTATAATGCTATACTGTGTACATGTTATAATGCTATACATGTTATAATGCTATACTGTGTAATGCAAAAATCAGATTCATGATCAAAAACTTCCTCTTTACTGAGTACTTATATATTCTTACACATAGTTACCATGTATGAAATTTTCGTAGTGTTTTTCTAAGGAAATACAAATGAGACCTTACTGAAATTTGTTTTCAGGCTTCACGTCAGCATGCTAAACTGTGTGATGAGTTTTCAGATTCAACGCTCAGCAATTTCCTGTTTACTGAATACTTGTGTATTCTAACACATAATGGCCATGTATGAAATTGTCGTCTCATTTTCTAGGGAACGACTACTAAGAACTTCCTTAAATATGTTATCTGTCTTCATGTGAACATGCTGTACTGAGTCATTTGTTTTCAGATTCATTGCTCATCAACTTCCTGTAAATGGAATTTTTAAAGCAGAGGTATCATTAGTGAGGAAGCTCACAGTTTTTATACTTGTTCCTACTGATTTTTTAGGCTTCCCCATAGCAAAACATGTGAAAGCTAGGCCCACATTTTTACATTTAGATACCTTCTTGTTGGATAAAATAAAGATTTGACTAATGACAAGGAAAATTGCATGTATAAAGACATATTACTTTGTTTTATTTATTTTCAGTTGCTTGATCAGTATAACGTGAAAGATCTGAATGTACCATGGTTACGATCCCAGATAGGAATAGTGTCACAGGAACCCATATTATTTGACTGTAGTATCAGAGACAATATTGCTTATGGAGACAACAGTAGAACACCAAGTATGGACGAGATAATCAAAGCGGCTAGGAATGCTAACATCCATGAATTCATATCATCTTTACCAGATGTAAGTAATAGACACTTTGACTTGAGAGGGGTGTAGAATCAGATACTAAAAGCTGCTAGGAATGCTAACATCCATGAATTCATATCTTCTTTACCAGATGTAAGTAATAGACACTTTGACTTGAGAGGGGTGTAGAATCAGATACTAAAAGCTGCTAGGAATGCTAACATCCATGAATTCATATCTTCTTTACCAGATGTAAGTAATAGACACTTTGACTTGGGAGTGGTGTAGGATCAGATACTAAAAGCTGCTAGGAATGCTAACATCCATGAATTCATATCTTCTTTACCAGATGCAAGTAATTGTCTCTTTTTGTTGGGAGGGGTTGAGGTCAGATATTAAATACTGCTAGGAATACTAACTAATTTATTTCTTAACCAGCCTTTGGATATCTCCATAATGGGAGGGGATGAGCAGAGTTATACAGTAAATATTAATAAAAGAAAAAAATAGGGTATATATATAAATGAAACAAAAGCAATTCAACAACACAAAGTAAATCAGCCTTACTTTGGCAAGGGAAGAGGAAGATTATCAAGGCTGTTAGCTATATAATCATATCTTCTTTACTAGACTTGAAACAAGAAGGGTTGAGATGAAGGAATTAACAAAGAAATAGAAACAATTATTGAAGAGGAAAGTCACTTTTTTATTTTAACAGGGTTATGATACTAATGTTGGTGACAAGGGGACACAACTGAGTGGTGGACAGAAACAACGTGTAGCTATTGCCAGGGCTTTGCTACGTAATCCCAAGATCTTACTCTTAGATGAGGCTACATCTGCTCTAGATACAGAAAGTGAAAAGGTATAATAAATTCAGCAATCATAAATATGAAAATGCTGCGGAGTTCTCGATAAATAGGAATATTTTTTCTTGGTAATTAATTCTAGTTGACTATATGGTTAATAATGGTTTCTATGCACTGAATACCTTTACCCTATCAGCTCTTTTATTGCCTACCCTAAAGTAAGACTGTTTCCCCTGTTTAAACCAGTTAAAGAAATTTTAAAATAAGTGTATTTGCCTACCTACCGTCAATTTGTAAGTGGAAACACACGTGTTATTTTTTTTTAGGCCTTATGAATGTTTTTAAATTTTAATAAGAAAAAAGTATAATTTAAACTTAAACTTGTAAAGAATGTTACCTATTCTGACATCGGACTCTGACTTCTTTTAAACTGAGTTTTACTGTGCGTATTGCTATGTGTTTCTTTATTCTACATTGGCTAGAGGTATAGGGGGAGGGTTGGGATCTCACAAAACATGTTTAACCCCGCCGCATTTTTGCGTCTGTCCCAAGTCAGGAGCCTCTGGCCTTTGTTAGTCTTGTATGGTTTTTAATTTTAGTTCATTTATATGTTTTGGAGTTTAGTGTGACGTTCATTTTCACTGAAATAGTACACAATTTTATTTAGGGGCCAGCTGAGGACCACCTCCAGGTGCCGGATTTTCTCGCTGCGTTGAAGACCCATTGGTGGCCTTTGGCTGTTGTCTGCTCTTTGGACGGGTTGTTGTCTCTTTGACATATTCCCCATTTCCATTCTCAATTTTATAAATTATTTAAAAATGTTATTATCTGTGTAATCAGTAATGTCTTTTGTCCTGTACTTATTAATCAGTAATGTCTTTTGTCCTGTACTTATTCATCTCATTCCCTATACATAATGTTGAGTTTCTGTCACTTAATAGGCAAAAAAAAATATTTTGTATACATTGTTTTGCAAAAGTCATGATTAGCTGGATTTTTATGATTATTTACACAACTCATAATTTCATCGATCTTTAATAATGTAGTGATGTTCATGCAGTAAGATGATTTTCATATTACAAGCCTTATTAAATTGTCTGTATCAGAATTGGTGGTTTCAGCCTTTGTATCACAACTTCCTAACATCATTTAAGGTAGATGGGGGGTTTAATTTTTCATCCATAGATGATTTTATTTTTTAAGGAAAACTTCTTAGTGATATGTCCTTCGAAATAAAAAAATAAAAAATTGGGATCACCAGTATTCCAAGCTGAGAAGGCAGGAAAATTTAAATATCCCATCTACCTGAATCAATTTCATAATGCAAGGCTAGAGAATGCTGTAAATGCAATTTTAAGATTTTTTATTTGCAGATTGTACAAGAAGCGTTAGACAAAGCCAGGGCAGGCCGAACATGTATTGTTATTGCCCATAGATTATCCACCATACAGAATGCTGACAAGATTTGTGTGATAAAACACGGCACTGTCAGTGAGGAAGGAAAACACAACGATCTAATGGCCAAACAGGGAATTTATTATAAGTTGAATATGGCACAGAAACGTCAGAAATAAACCTATTGACTTTATCATTTATTTTGAAAATTTGTGATAATTTTTAACTCAAACGGAAACATTTTCCTTATCTTTCAATTGTAATGTAATATGTTGATCAAACCAGGAGCTGTGAAGTATGAATAAATGAAAACCTAAGATGATTGGTTTTTTTTTGTAGTTTATCATGTGAAAGAGAAGTAGATAAATAGTTTTGAAAAGTGCTGTGTATTGTAAGTGCTAACCAAGTTGTCTATTTCTACAATCAAATCTTCTAAATGGCAAAAAACATATAATATATGGTTCTGTATGAAACAGTTGTATTTCAACATTTCTACCTCAGATTTACAGATTTCCATGTCATAGAAACAATTTTTGTTTCTTATTTAAATTTTTGTTTCCTTAGTCCCATATCAAATAAAAAACTAACTGTATCCATAGGGAGGACACTTAAATACCCACCCATGGAATTAAACTGTAATCCTCAGGAAGGACACAATAACAGATACCCATCCATAGAAATAAAGTACATACACTTGTATCATTAGATAACTTGACATTGTAAACATTCCTGGGATTTAGTGCTTGTTGTTATGGAACAAACTGTGTATATTTTGATGACTTGTATTAATGTTATAATCAAAAGAAATCCACATTGTTTTTGTATATAAACTGCATTTGATGATTTTCATATAAAACCGGTATAAGTCCTTTGATATTTATCTTGTTTTAGTTTTCAACTTGCTTTATAGCAATCTGAATTTTCTGGAATCTCAAAATTCTTAAAAAACTCACCACTATTTTTACAAGTTTATTTATCTCATAGTTATGGTATAGAAGTCTTTTTGCTGGGGTCATAAACTAGATGCAGTAATAATTGAAACAGAAACACAGGTTGTGATTAACATTCTGACAAGGCTTACAAAATGGTGAAGAGTTCAGACTGTATGTTCAGTGTTTCTTTCTGTTCTGCCTTCTACATATTAATCATTTATATGTTGCTGACACCAGTCTGTAACATTCAACACTTGCCTTCTTTTCAAAGTCTAATATACATTGTAAAGTTCAAACCAGTTAATGACATTCACATTTACTTCTGTTTTTTGTGTAGTATGTATTTGGATATTAATTAGACGAAGCTAACATCATTCTGTAACATTCTATACTAACTCTGTTCTGTGTATTAAAAGTATGTATTAAACTTATAATTGTGTAGAAAGTCCTTGAACATGCATTGAACTTGTTTTGATGATTTGTTCATTTGTTTATTTGTTGTTTTCCTAAAGGACTGTCTTCATTTATCTACTTATTCCAGAAAGCTTTTATTGTTAGGTTTTATTGAGGACTTTGGAATCTCAATCTTATTTCACTTTCTATATTTGGTATTATTTACATTTTAGTAATATGTACTTGATCTTACATATCTATATTTACCTATATCATGACATACATATATCTACTTTATTTAACGGGTTTAGTTTTACACATATGTGTTTTTCATTAATGTAGATTTGTATATTCCTTTGTCCTCTAATGTATATTATATCTGATTCATTTACTTTGACATAAGGTAGTACCAGTGTATTATAAATGAGTTTGTAACCTTCAATAGACTGAGTTTTATTTACCTGAATTTTTAAATTTAAATGATAGCATTTATAGTGCCCCATTTTGAGGTAATATTTTTTAAAGAAATACAGAATTTTTTTGATTTTTTTTCAAAATTATTTTATAAAATATTTGTTTTATGGGAGATAACTCTATTTATAAAAGTCTATCTTTTTTGTTGTGTAACATAAAAATGAGTTTACATCATCCTTTTGCTTTTATTTTCTGAAAGAGCTATCCTACCTTATTTAAAGAAAAAAAAACATCTTTATAGTTATAATTATTTAGTTCTCATTAGTAAAACTACTATGATTTTTCCCTGTTTAATTCAAATTAAACAAGAGTTTTCAAAATCTGTAAATTAAAAACAGTTATATGTTTTTCATATTATTTTGGGAAAAGGGGAAATAAACAATATTTAAGGATTGTGTACCCTTTAGTTGTTTCAATGCTAAACATATGGAAATTTTTTAGAAAATCCACAGCCTTTCCCTTTGCACTCTTAATATTTGAAAATTTGGTGCTTAATAGATAGAGGATTATTGCATGCAAATCATGAACAATCGAGTGATTGATCTATGTTTAAAATTTTATAACGAAAATCTCTGTAATAAAGTCTGTTGATTTTCTGCCAAAATCTTGGTTTTCTTTGCCACAAAATCACCATTTTCTATTAAAAGCAATGCAACAATAAACATTATTGCTTTGAACTACTTTTCCCATTGGTATACAAAATGGCACATCACTTTTATTCTGTATTTTTGCTATTTATCATAGCACTTTAAAAATTTCCTATAGAAGGGGTCATAAACATTAAGAAAGTAAAAAAAAGATGTATATAATTTTTGTTTCTACTCCCATATTACTCTAAAACATTACAGTTTTTACATGACATCATATCATACATCATATCAAGGTTTTTTATTCTTTTGACTTTTGATGGAAACATGATTATCTGATAAGAGCTTTCAGATTATGGTTATGTATATCTACCCAAATAGTAATGAGCAAGACAAAAAATACATATCAGTTTGGATAGATACACTTTTAACAAATGAAGGTTACACAAGATATGAAATGTGCCTGAAAATAGGAAACGTTTTAAATGTCTGGGAACAGCTTAAGCTCATTCCTTTCCTAGGAATTTAAATGTCATAATGTATATATTTCTATTGTACTTCATACTTGTTTTAATGTCATCATATTGTTATGTGTTTAACCAACATTTCACATAAAGTTGAATTCTATGCTTGTCAAACTCAAGTTTGGAAAAAAATAGTGAACTATTGATTCCATCTTATGGATCAAGATTGAATGTAAATACTTGAGTAGTAAAAAAAGTTCCTATGTTAAAAAAACATTGAATGATTAGCTTATAAGACATCACTAGGATTTACACATGAATGATTAGCTTATAAGACATCACTAGGATTTACACATGAATGATTAGCTTATAAGACATCACTAGGATTTACACAATGTGATTGTATCTAAAGAGTTGTTTTTTACATGTTTGAAGCTTGTTTTTATTTTATTTGCAAAGACAATTTATTTTAATAGGTTTGTCCTTTATTTTAACTAGTGTTGTTTGTGTGCAGTAATTTAAAAGACAGCTTTTATCAAACAATCTCGGAACTTACCTCTCTATTGCATCATATTGATTTTATGTACACAAAAGCAGTTTGTAAGATTAACAGGGTATATATCTGACAAAGAACAATCAGTGTCTGACCAGTGCGAGGACAATGACTGTGTGATATAATGACCAGTTTGTATATTATATAACGAGAGTATGTTTCTTATGTGGCTTTTTTTAATAAATGTATTAATTGTTTGATGTGTATTTTTTATTCCAAAGGCCTATTATCTGACAATAAGTTACAACAGTCAATGTTACTGATCCATTTGATATCTGACAATAAGTTACAACAGTCAATGTTACTGATCCATTTGATATCTGACAATAAGTTACAACAGTCAATGTTACTGATCCATTTGATATCTGACAATAAGTTACAACAGTCAATGTTACTGATCCATTTGATATCTGACAATAAGTTACAACAGTCAATGTTACTGATCCATTTGATATCTGACAATAAGTTACAACAGTCAATGTTACTGATCCATTTGATATCTGAGTAATAAGTATAATGTGGAGGTACTGTTGATTTTGTTAATACTGGAGTTTTGTGTCAGGAGGGGCTGTGTGGAATGTAAGAGCCAAGGGAATATGAATGCAGATAACAGATAAAAGAAGGGTTATACTATAAACATTTAAGGATAATAATTAATAACTACTGTGGATTCATTTTTACTCGTGGGACACCAATTTTCAAAGATTTTACAGTACTTAAAAGGTAGACAAAATGTGTCTGTGATAATCCAAGCATTTTTAATATTGATAATGTGTTTGAAAAAACTATCTAACTAGTACTGGATATTTAATGCCAATACGATCCTCCACAGATGTCTTACCATCTTATAAAAGGTTTTGGTCTGTTTTGGAAGCTAAAAGGTATGTAGTAAGGATTTCAGTAATTAAAGAATAACATGGACATTCCAGTATAGGAGTTAAAAAGGATTTGATTCAAATATATTTACTGCTGAATGGAATTATCACCTCTCTTAAAATATGTTTGATGTTATTAATGGCATACAAAACTTTGAGTACAGCTCAGTATTTCACCTTGATTCAAAGAGTTTGTCAACATAGCCTGATTTACTCTTTCTTAACACATATTATTAATGAACTCTTATCAGAAAAATGTGGGTATGTCAAATTCTGCTGAACAAAAAAAAATCAGTTTTGTATAGTTTTGAAGTGAATCAGAATTTCATTTCACATATCAGTTCCTTTTACCCTATCCTATCTTTTTCAAATGGTCTTTCAAAATAATGTAATAGACACGAATTGTTTGTTTTGTATAATGAAGGTCACAGAAGAGTCATGCTGAAATAGATAAACTTAAGATAAGCTGTGGTGTGGCTCATTCTGTTTTAAGGTTTGTATTGTTTTGTGATGTTTTCAGAATACTTCTGTACTTGGATCACTGTAGTTTTCGCTCACAAATATCAAGTGTTTGTAAAGTGAGGTCAGTATTAATATATAAACAATACATTTTCAGGATATATCATGGTTTGATGATCATAAGAATGGTACAGGTGCTCTGACTACTCGCTTAGCAACAGATGCTTCACAAGTACAAGGGGTATGTAATAATACTATGTATTCTACTTTTATACGACCGCAAAAAATTTTGCAGTCGTATATTGATATCACGTCGTCGTCATCGTCCGAAGACATTTGGTTTCCGGACAATAACTTTAGTAAATGTAAATAGAAATCTATGAAATTTAAACACAAGGTTTATAACCACAAAAGGAAGGTTGGGATTCACTCATTATTGATTGATTTTGGGGGTTATAGTCCTAACATTTTATGAATTGGGAGCCAAAAAGGGGCCCAAATAAGCATTTTTCTAGTTTTTAAACAATAACTTGTGGTACGGTGTATGGATCTCTCTGAAATTATACCACAAGTTTCCATTCCACAAAGGGATGGTTAGGATTGGCTTTGGGGGGTAACCGCTCAAACCGTTTAGGAATTAGGGGCAAAAAAGGGGGAAAAACAAGGGTTTCCTGGTTAATGGACAATTTAAAAGCAGTGTAAGGGAGGTAATCCAAACACATTTAAAGTACAATGTTGTGTATGTTTGGGTTTACCTCCCTTACACTTCTTATAAATTATGTATAAAAAAATGTTGTATTGTCTTGAGGTGATTAGCTGTCAATTTATTTTTAGAAGTTACTATTAAAGGAATATTTATTTTAGCCATGATTATGTATGTCATTTTCTATTTTAAGACTTTTATGATGTATTTAAATTGGTAATTATGGTTGCAAACTCCATTGGAAATTTGAATTGAGATTATGACCATATCTTGAGGGAAAGAATTTTTTTTTGGGAAAAGGGAGGGGGGGGGGGGGAGGGTGGTGAAAAAAAAAATTGTGGGGGCAATCTTTTCTCATTTCAGATTTCAGAAATAAAAAAGAAAATTTCTAAAAGAAAATTTTTTTTTGGGGGGGGGGGGTTAATATGCAACAGCATAGTGTATTGCACAAAAGCAAAAAAAACGGGGAGGGTAAATTTTATTTTTTTTTGGGGGTGGGGGGTGGGGGTCAATCTGTAACAGCATAGTGTATTGCACAAAAGCAAAAAATTGAATATAAATTCAAATCATATAACCAATTCTAAGTTCTTTGACTACAGTTATTCTGTGTCAGAAACCTATTATGTGTCAAATATTTAATTACAATCCAAATTCAGACCTGTATCAAGCGCGAATAATGTGTCCATTTTTGCCCCAACTGTTCAGGTTTGGACCTCTGCGGTCGTATCCAGCTGCACTCAGCAAGGCATTTTATTTAATTTCAAGGAGGAGGTAAGACTGTTTGGCATAAGAATAGAAGTACATGTATTAAGAATTTTCTTTTTTTTTTGTATAAAAACGACATGTGCGAAGTTGAAACATCAAAGTCTTTACAAATATTAGTAATATTTCCTGAGATTTGAACGTAGAAAGTTGGCATATATTGAATTTCTTTAAAAAATGGCAAAAATGCATAGTTTTGACCTTTTTTTATATTTCTTTAAAAATGGCTTAACAAAATTTATACCCAGCTTGCAAAGAATTTTTCTACAGGACATGAGTTATGCACCTGCTGTTTCAATGTTTTGTCTGAGAGACTGGGTTTTCTTGTACCAAACTCCTTATGTCTGTTTGTTAATCTGCAATTCCTTAAAAATAGTTTAACAGAATTTAATTGAACTTGTTTTTTTTGTCTTCAAGACATGAAGTTGTGTTCCTACTATATCTATTTTTTGTTACCATTGTGATAATTGTGATTCAATTCCGAAACATGTATTGTTAATATCACATTGCAGGGATATGCATGCATAGGAGGAGACACTTACCCAGTATTGCACATGTAATTTCCTCAGTTTTTGTTTGTTACCCTGGTTGACTCTTCCTAATCAATTTACGAGATTTGAACATCGGTAAACTACTGAGCCTTTATATTATTAGATTGTTTCAAATAAATGGAAAATGTGCACTTTATTATTGACTTACTTTTATTAGTCCCCTACCGACGAAGTCGAAGGGGACTTTAGGTTTGCACTCTGTCCGTCTGTCTGTTTGTCTGTCTGTCTGTCTGTCCATCCGTCAGTCCGACAAATCAGTTTGCCACACTTTTTTTCTATGTGCTTGAAGATATTGATTGATATTTGGTTTATAGTTTCATCATGACAAGTTACAGATCAAGTTCAAATTTTGTTCCGGTTTGACGATTTTGTGCAGAGTTATGGTCCTTGGACTTAGAAAATGCACTCAAATAATCAGTTTTCCACACTTTTTTTTGTCATGCTTGAAGGTTTTGATATAATGATTGGTATAGAGTTTTATCATGACAAGTTACAGATCAAGATCAAATATTGTTCCGGTCTGATGATTTTCTGCAGAGTTATGGTCCTTGGACTTAGAAAATTCACTCAAATAATCAGTTTTCCGCACTTTTTTTCATCATGCATGAAGATATTGATTTGATAATTTGTGTATAGGTTTATCATGACAAGTTACAGATCAAGTTGATTTTGTTCTGGTCTGATGATTTTTTGCAGAATTATGGTCCTTGGACTCAGAAAATTCACTCAAATAATCAGTTTTCAACACTTTTTTTGTCATGCTTGAAGATATTGACTTTATATTTGTTATGTATTTTTACACCATGACAAGTTATAAATCAAGTTAGCATTTTGTCCCAGTGCAATGAATTTTTAACCGGTAGGGGATTATATATTGCTATGCAATACTCTCAGAATGCTTGTTATCAGATGGTTTGAAGGAAATAAAAAATTATATCCATCTTGCTGGTTCATGTTTCAGGCTGCTGGTGCAAGACTTGGTAGTTTGGTACAAAATGTTGCCAACATGGGAACAGCCATTGTTATTGCCTTTATCTATGGATGGCAACTTACTCTTGTTATCTTTGCTTTCTTGCCTTTTATTGCCATTGGTGGAGCATTGGAAATGAAAATTCTTCAAGGAGTTGCTGGTCAAAACAAAGAAGCTTTAGAAGGTGCAGGAAAAGTTGCAAATGAAGGAATTGAAAATATTCGCACTGTGGCTTCCTTAACTAAGGAAGAAAAGATCCATGAGTTGTACATAGAGAATTTGAGACCTCCTTATGTAGCAGCACTAAGAAAAGCACATATAGCTGGATTAGCATTCTCATTCTCTCAGTCAGTCATCTTCTTTGCATATGCTGCAGCTTTCTACTTTGGAGCCTATATGATCAAAGAAGGAGAGATGGACTTTACAGCTGTTTTCAAGTAAGTTACATTTTCAAGATTGACTGAATTTGATAAAGGGAGCTCTGCTTTTTCGCTCTGCTTTTTCACTTAAAATACACACTGATTATTGAAGATAAAAAACACATCTAAAGGTAGATATTGGTTTGATATCCAATTATTAACCCTTTCAAATGAGACATTACAAGATCCACCTCATTTCCAAAGATTGATGGTAAACTAGAAAAATAAGGAGATGTGGTATGATTGCCTATGAGACTGTCCATCAGCCTAAATGAAGTGGAAGTTAGCAACTATTGGTCACTGCATAGCCTACAACAATGTACAAAACCTTTACTGAAAAGTAATCTATAAAAAGCCTTGACAATGACAAAAGGCAAAAATACCAAAAAGAAACTAACAGCCTTGATTTATAATAAAATAATAAAAAAAAAAATATGAAAGACAAAGTATGGGTTTTG